TCTAGACCTATTTCTTAAAAACTCATGTAGCTGTTCCCAAATATTGCCTTAAATAATGTTAGGAAAAGATGTGTGTAGTCAATCTGAAATAGTTAGACAGTACAGCTTGTTGTTTATTAAAAATTAATTTAATAGAGAAGAAATTGCCAGGTTGTCATTGTAGCGATAACATCCCTTATGTGGCTTATGGTACACATACCTAATACTCAAATAAGTTTGCTATCAGAATAACATTCTATAATCATACAATGATGTCAATGTAAGCAAAGAAATAGATAAACGAAATGGTTTCCAATGATTTCTGTTTTTCTAATAATGTTTAGAAATATGTCACACAGCATAGCTACTCCTTGAAATTTGTATTATAGTTCAACGTAATAACAGGAACTACAACTAACCATAATAACCTTACACAACAACATGACTAATTTTTCTTATTTCTTATATGCATGTTGTAGTATGTATGCTGTCATATTTCAGGAATTTACATAAACTATTTAACTGTAGTCTACAGAATAGGGATTTCAAAGGTATTAGCTTAAACATCTCTTTAGATCTTAATCTTGCATATACTAAAATACTGATACATAGAATTTTATTTTCCTGTAGATGGTAAAAAATAAATGCTGCTCAGTACATTATCCATTGAGATTATCATCATAGTAAAACAATGGCATGGCATGTCTGGTATTTGTTATGTGCATTTTGTGGTCAATATAAGTTATATTTCAGGAATGTCCATCATAAAGTGTCTGACTGTAGTCTATGGCATAAAAACCTTGGAGGGATTAATTCTTGCATCGCTTTTGCTTTTCTGTTCCTCTTGTGCTAGCTGAAAATCTGATATTTTTTTCCTCTCATACAGGAGATGCCTTTTGGATGGGAATCTATTGTAAGTGCCTTGGTTTGTTATATATGTTTTATGTTATCATTATTGGTGATGCATATGATTTGGGCCTTTCTTCTGAAGTTCATTTTGTTATCACAAATTTTATGTGTTAGTTTAACTGGACTACATTCATGAATAATCATGTGAAAAAAGTACCATAGCCTTAAAGTTTCTTTTATATTTATGTTGTTCTGATGGCGTGTAGTACAAACTATAGTTGATTCACCCAAAATATTAAACAGCTAGATAAAAGTTGGCTATGATTTGTTTGGTGCACCTTTCATTATCTATGAAAATTTTAGGAGTTCAATTGGATTATGAATATCTCCATGTGGCTGAAGATATTTGTAACAGGTTAGGGCTATTATTTATATTGCAACATGAAAATGACAACACACCTGTTATTAACTTTATACGATGGTGAGATTAGTCAGTTAAGACAAGGGCCATATTGTTGCCGAGAAAGATTAGCTTGGCACGTATTAGGTGATAAACTTGATATGACTTGAGACTTGAACCTTGGGCTCAAGTATGTTTCCAAAAATATGGTCCTTTGGTATTTGTTGAAACACATCCAAAATTCTTGAAACAGTGCCGTAACGTTGGATATCCTATTGTAACTTTTGATACTTCTTCGAGAAATGACCCTTCCTCTATAATCTCACTGACACCTCCTAGAACTGGTATGAGGAAGCCATCAGCTTGAGATGTGTATGATCATTTCCTTGTCATGTAGCAGGCGGTATTTGATCAGTTTTCTGATTGGGACCATATTTTGAAATGTGATAAATATTCCATTGATGAGAAATTTTGTGCTCACTAGACGCTTGATCCATGTAGTCGACTAGCTTTAATATTGTGAATGTTAGGATAGAGTTGGATAGATGTGATGATGAATTTTGAGAATGGTAATGACATGATTTGCATGCTTATAAACATTAGTTAGCTATGGGTTAACTTTCATATTCCAATATAGCCTCATAAATTATATGATGTTATTGAGATATCCAACATGATTCTTCCTTGTGCAAATATTTTAGATTTTCATATGTATACTATAATCTAATTTTCTGTGAGGTTCTCATGTTCTTATTTTTATTACAACCAAGGAAACATATTCAATTTTTGGTTCTTTTTCTGCAAATTAATATTTTAAGAAATGTTCCATGCACATTTCCTGCTGTCATTTTCTAAAAAATAGTAGTTAATAGTCTTGTTTTTCAGGCAAACGAAACTTCACAACATTGGTGCAACCCTGATTGGAGTTGATAAATTTGGTAACCTGTATTATGAGAAATTGGATGTCCAATATGGTCAGTGATCTTCTTAGTGTTTCTTTGTTTTACTGAGGCTATATATTCTGCCCTGATAATTCTTTTGGGACTTTTATCTCTTTTTCCAAATCCCTTTATCTCAGTAAGTAAAATTTTTATGATAATTTTATATGTATGAATTTAGAAATTGAGGGTGTTAAATGTGACACCTTAATAGTTTAAAGTTAGTAATATCTAACTGTCACATGGAAAAACAAAACCTTTGATGGTTTTTGTGGATTGATTTTAATTAGTTATATGCTGGTGACATATGACTTCTGATAAAGCTTGGCTTGCATGGCAAAATTAGATTAATCCACTAGTTTTAGTTTGACATGGTATTCTTCAAATATTTTTGTTTGTGCAAAAAGAGGGGGAGAGTTTGATTTTGTCGTCTGGGAGCATTTTTCAATATAAACACTGAAATATATTGGGTAATTAGAATATTATAACAATTTTGGTGTCAGAAACATGCCTTTTTTTCATTGGTTTCAGTCAGATACTATTCTAACTTTATTGTTGATTATTAGATGCTTCACATTTTGTTGAAATTTTTTCTATCTCTTATCATTTCGTATGTGCTAGTGTTCGAGATATTTAAATGAACTGTTGCTGATTAATATGCAGGAAGGCACAGGTGGGTTGAGTATGCTGAGAAAGGTCGCTATAATGCGTCCCAAGTGCCACCTGAGTGGCATGGTTGGCTGCACTATGTAACTGACCATACAGGCGACGAAGTAAGTAATGTATAATGCCATTTTGCTATCTTGTCCAACTGAACTTGTAACTGGTAACTGCATCTTTTTAGATTTTACTGGGAAAAAAAGGATACTTATTTAGTTACAAGAAAAGATAGAAGAACACATGAAACAATTCCGATTGGGGATAACTTGATAGAAGACCATTTAAGATGATATTGATATATTCGAAGAAGATCCATACATTTATTGGGTAGATGAGTTGAGCCAATTAAGATTTGTGGCATGAGAAGAGAACCTTATTAAACATTCAGGACCTTACAGCTTGCTGTTGTCCCTACTCCAGCCAGTTCCTTTTTAAGTTCATGATCTTGGTTCACATTATAATGTGTGTAATTTGAACAATCAACGCTTACATTGTCGACTTGATCTCACAAATCAATGTGGCAATCCTGAACGTCTCTCAGATACTGGTGACTTGGTAGTTTAAGTACTCAGTAAAGGTAGTAAGCACAGAAATTAATTGTAAATCTGAATTTTTAGTAGAATTCTCTGTACCCTACCAGTGTGTCATAATCATTTATTGACTGTAATGTTCTACTTTGCTGGGGCATTACTGTTATGTTCTACATTAACATGACATTAGAGAACATCGAAGGTCTATAAGCTCTCAGTATAACTTTCTAGTAGAATTCACTATACTCTTACCACTGTGTCAAAATCATTCTTGTACTCAGATTGTTGAACATAACGTTCTACTTTGTTTGGGACGTTAATATTTATTATCCATGCTAGCTTTTGATGCTGAAACCTAAAAGATATGGCGAGGAACATAGAGAGAACTTCTCAGGGGAAGGTGATGCGTACATCTACCACTCCAAAGGCCACGCTCTCAACCCTGGACAGAGGGATTGGACCCGTTACCAGCCCTGGCAACCTGCCAAGTCCTAAACTTCTTTTCCTGTTGCAGGACAAGGTACATAAATCATGCCACACTGCAAAGCTTTTGCTGGCAAATACTTTGTTAATTGCTTGATTGACAGCAACCCTAAAATGTTAATGCGTGCTGAAAACGTGGCTGTAATAAGTGCTTTGGATTGTAGTTTCCAATTGTTCGTTTGGAAATGTGTCCATCTAATTAAAATTTTATTTTTACTGGGCAAATTACTTGTTTAACTGATTGACCAGTTTCTTTCCGAGCAAAACTTTAGTATTCCTTGCTCTAAACATGCTTTGTGTAGCAAAACCGTACCCAAGTTTTACATACGTTGTATTAGCTTCTTAATGCAAGTGCTATGTACTTGCTTTTGTATCATGTTGAATGCGGTAGGAAGAGGGGCGGGGGAGGACTGCTGTTGGGCCAGGGAGAACTGAACTAAGCCTAGAGTTTCACTTTAGGACACTGCAGCCAGTCGATGTTGCTGTTGCTTACCATTGGCTTTATCGTGCTGAGTCCAATTGCCTGCTACATGTCGCCACGTCACTCGTACTTTAGGTTATGCAAGGGACGCCCACGAGGTTCACGTTTCCTCCCCTCTTAGAGAGAGAGAGAGAGAGAGAGAGGAGCATGTGAGTCCAAGTGGTCCATCGCATTACCGATTGGTTGGGTGCCAATAATAGAGCGCGTTGTTTGAGCTCGGTGGGTCCTGGTGTTCACGGCGCCACGTGTATCTGGTCTTTCTCTGACACATCGGGACGCTGCGTGGTGGCACGACGCCCACGTGGACCACGTGCGTCCCCGCTTCGCTGCATCTCGCGTTATACGAGTCACAATTATGTTGGTTTGGGGAATTCTGGGAAGCTTTTAAGTTTACGTCCCTACCAACCAATTATACACACTGCTTGTCGCCCCCACTCACCCCCCCCCACCCGAATCAGGATCCATATTTTCCAGCCAACGTGGCAGAGCTCTATTAGTTCTCCTAGGAGTGGACCCCAAACTTCAAGTATATAGACCTGTTTCTGAAAGAGGCCACACAGCTGATGACTCGAACCCGTTTCTCGATTATATTGGGGCCTCGCGTTCCCAATCTTTCTCGGCCCTGCTTTTCCGTGACGGTCTGCTAACAAAAGGCAACGCAGCGCAACGAGGAGTCGTTCCTCCTCTCTTGCTCGTTTACTTCCCGATCCTACCTCCCTCCGTCGCCTCACCCTCGGTTCCTCTTCCTCCTCTCTGTCTCGTCCCACCCCGATCAAGAACCCCAGAATCAAGTCTTCTTCCCTCGATCCGCGAGTCGAGCCGCAGCCGTCCATCTCCGCCCCAAGAAAATGGCGTCGGGGGCCAACTCGGATAGGCTTCTTGCGAGGGATGTGAGTGATCTTGCCACCCGATTTCTTCTTGGACTCTTGATTTGGTTTCTTGTTCTGCTTCTTTCTTTGTTAATCCTACCGTGACGATTAGGTGACCTCGAGTGAAATTGAGAATCCAAGGCAGCCTCTGATCAATGGCGTCACTTCTAGCGAGAGCTATTCTGCTACTGCAGCGATTCTTCCGTGAGTCCACTACATCCCGGGCAACTACTAATGCTCCAAGTTAGAAATAGTTGGATAGTAGTGGTTGTATGGTTTTCTTGCGTAATAAAAGGAAAATAACATAAAAGAAAGGTTTTTGCTTTCCGTATGTTATGACAACTGAAATGACACCCAAGAACATAAAACATCCTTGTTTTACTGATTTGTTTTCCAAAAAAGGTTGTTTAAGTAAGGATATCTGTTACATCATGTTTCATAAGATGATTAACTATCATGCTCAAATTCTACGAGTGCCTACCATATACAACTTAGTGTTAAACTGTCACTCTAGAGGACTGTGGTTTTGTTATCAGTCACGAGAATTTTCTTATTGTCCTGTTTGCATCAGGTATGGTATGCCGATTTTAACATTACCTTTTGTTAATCGGGCTTATTGGTTTTTTTAGTGACATTAATAACAAAAAGGAAAAGAAAATGCTTGCTAAATAATTTCATAAAAATTAATTAGTTGCTCTAACTATTCTAGCTATACTGAATTTCTTGTAGGAATATAATTATACTTCTAGGGGAATATAATTATAATTTGCAATGGATGACTTGGAAACTCCCAACAGAACTGAACAGAAATCTTCTAATAATATGACAGAAATTTGTAATTTCTGTTAGTCTATTCATATGACTTGAAGGTCTCTTTTGCAAAATCATTGAATGGTAGTATGGTTCCTGCATCATCTTAGAAATTCAATTGCATAGCAGTACAGATAAACATAGATGCCCTCTTGCATGCGGCAGGCGATGCTATTAAACTCTTCTATCTCATTTTATTGCTGTCATTGTTCTAATATTCAAGACTTTTTCCTATGTTTCATTCTTTTGTTCTGAAAATGATTTCAGAATTAACCTTTCCTCCTGACCAGCACCTAACTTGTCTCGAGGATCTTTGACGCATGATAGATGTTACCTTCACAAGTGAGAGATTTGTAAACAATTTTTAGAAAAAAAAGGATCTTCACTTTGATTCATTATTCTGAAGAGAAATGCCTTGTCTCTAAATGTTACTCCTGGTTCAAAACTAGATCAACATGATTTTAGGAGGTTCATTAAAAAAATGAAGAAAGTAAGATGTGTGGATATGGTTTCTTTGTTATGACAATCTCAAGTAACTCGATGAATTTTAGGTTCTTCTTCCCAGCTCTAGGAGGGCTACTCTATGGCTATGACATTGGTGCTACGTCTGGTGCTAAAATTTCTTTGCAGGTGTGCCAACTCAAGCTTTTCATCCTTGATAGTATCTGTTTTTTAATTTGGTGATAAGGTTTCAAAATTCTGATAATTTATATTGAGTGTATCTGGCATAGGTTTTTTCAGTTAATGCCTGAATTCATAGAACACATTGGTTGGTTACTTCAGAAAAGTGTAATCTTAATAGAAGTTTGTTTTTCTGCTTGAACTAAAACTTAAAATCATGTGAGATTATTGGTTATCTATTGTATGATTCAACTCATTATAAAATTTTGTTTCTACTTTCTACTGTAGGACATCATGTGAAATCTCATGTTGGTTGTGACCATATGATTCTGTTAATGGTTCACCATGTGGTGCTTCTCATGATTGTTTCTGTTACTTTATGGGAAGCATCTTTTGCTTGTATTTATTTCAATCTGGTTTGAGTAAATGGTTTCACATGGAATTTCCTTCTAATCTTCTTGTGCGAAATTGGCTCACTATCTGGAAACATTATTTTTGCTGTATGCACATTTGCCCTCGACTTGCTGCAAATGTGCTTCTCCTTTGCTATCTGATAATTTTGCCTTGTGATGTAAAAGTAGTTTTCAGCATACTTAATATGCCAATGTTGGGACACTCAAGTAGACTTGCCTCTAGGTGGTTTAAATTAAGATTTTCTTCAGGGTTGGTAAATGTGTGAAGATGGACTTGGGATGGTGCATTCTCCTAAAACTGGATGATAGATGGGGTTAACAGGAAGGCAGAAGCACATGTTCAGGGATATTGAAAAAATTGTGGCAAACTAACATGGTTGTTTGGGTGATGATCATGGTAGAGAAGTTCTGATAATAAAAGGTTTTTGTTTTGCAATTGATAATTCTTGTATCTTATGTTAGTGAAAATATAAGTACCACAGATCTCTGCTGAAAATATAAGTGCTAAAATATGATGCCTTTGCTGCAGTTTGAATTTATCATATGTTTCTGCACGAGATAAGTACCACAGACCTCTCCTTGTTCCTCTGCCTCTTTGATACATTCTATTTGCTATCTATACTATCTTAGTCTTCTTGCAATATCTCTGTTGTTTCTTCTGTTTTTTCTCTCCTTTTATATTCTAATTACTTGCTATCCATGCTGAGAATGAGACCAGAAGCAGCCAATATCACAAGTTTGAAAGTAGTTTTAGCATCCACAAATGAGACAGCTGTCATAGAAACGTGCTTGATATATGGGGAAAAAGTATGTCAAAAGGAACTAAGCTATTCTGAGAAAGTATCTGAACTAGAAGATATCTTTGACTTTTTGTTACAGAAATGATTAATGATTTAGTAATTGAGTTAAGATATCATTACAGTAGTTACTCTAAGAATTTTAGTACAGAATTGATTTACCTATATATCTCAAGTATCTTCAGGAAAAAAGTTTATTCGGGTATGCTTTAATTGATCGATAATAGCTTAATTGACTATGTTGCTCATAGTATACCTGTCAAACTTCGGATCTCTTACATGTCTGATTGAGAGGTTTCTGGATTGTTGGTTTACTAAAATTTCTTTTTGCAGTCATCAAGCTTAAGTGGGACGACATGGTATAATTTATCCTCTCTGGAAATTGGTCTCGTGGTGAGTTAACACCACATAGTATCATGGATCACAAGAGCGTTGGTTATCTCTCGTCATCATATTTTGCACATTGCTATTTATTCCTGAATCCTGTATATGACAGGTTAGTGGGTCTCTATATGGTGCCTTGATCGGTTCTGCTCTGGCATTTACCATTGCTGACTTTCTAGGTTTGCTGCCTGAACTTTGACAATATAATAAGATTTTTCTTCCTTCATATCTAGAAACTAATCCTAGATTATATTTAAATGAAGGAAGAAGGAGGGAGTTATTACTCTCTGCTGTGCTATATTTTGTTGGAGCTCTGCTGACAGCATTGGCACCAAACTTTCCCGTTATGGTGATTGGACGTTTTGTGTATGGTACAGGAATTGGATTGGTAACTCAACCAACCTTCTTCTATTTATTTATGTTCATGTGATTTATGTACACATAAATTCCATAATTATTGATGATTCCCTTAATCTTGGCAAGTACTTAATATTGTGGCATACTCAATTATCATGTTCTGGCTTCAATTATTTTACTCTTGAAATCTTTTATTGTCCTTTAGATGGAGAAATTTTTTCTATGCTGATTTTTGTTTTTGTAGATGTTTGTATGTTTTCTTTGGTCCAATATTCTATTCCCACAAATTGTCACCATTTACGATGCACTTCTACAAGCTTTTCATTACTTCTTGTGCTTTATTTGTTTCACTATGTGATTGGCATGTTCATATTTTTTGATGACACTTCAATAATTGTTTTTTCAGAAAAATTTTCAGTATGAATTGGTGATGGGAATTATGATTCATTCACTTTTAGATCTTGCATCTTTTTGTTTTAAAGTTTTCAGCAGAACAGGGCATGTTGGTTTTTCCATTTGTGAATCTGAAATCTTAGTTCTTAGGCATCTACAACCTATTCTACTATTTGAGGTGTCCACTGATCCATTGTTGACACTTGTTGAAAGAGATTCTGTATTCATATCCACTATGTATCAGATATTGGTTCTCGTCTGTATCTGATACTTTCTTTATTTTTTTTTCTTTTGCTACACAAAATTATAATAAAAATCATATGGTGTTTTAAATCCCCGTGGGATTCTCTTAGGGTGCATTCCTTTCTATTCTGCGAGCAGCTAATTGTGAATTTTTTTATTTTTGATTTGTTAGAAGTGCTTTTCCAATACTTGTGAATACTTATATATTATAATTTAAGAGCCTGGCACATTTTAAAATTCCTTTCTAATCAAGTGATACTTTAAGAGCTGAAAGAAAATTGAAACTTATATATTATACAAACTACAAAAAAACATATTGTCTCTATTTCTCTACCCTTTGATGTATCATTTATCTGTCATATATGTTGGTACTTATGCCCATCCATGTGCTTCATAGATTGGCAGATAAGTTCTAACTTCTTAGTACTTAATATTCTCATGGCAGTGACTCCTGTCCTGTGACTCATTTCTTGTCCAATTGGATCTTTGTTCCTTGATTGTGCTGGTGATGTTTGCAATGCAATCGTAGTTGTTATTTTGAGAATGTACAACAATATAAGAAGTATGTCGTCATTCTATTTTCTGCATTGATATGTCGGCGCATATGGCATGTAAGATTGGTTTCTCTTTTACAAACTTTTGATTTCACCATATGTGTGACTCTGCTTCCTCATTTCTCAATCAGATGTTGAAGTCTACAGAAGTCGGACGACTGATTCTGAACTCGGTTTGTCTAATATAAGATTTTGGGCTGAATCATGTGGTTCTTAACCGAAACCATTTGAGTAGGTTGGTTTTTGCTGAATCTGGTCAAAATTTGTGCAATTTCAACCTGTTTGGTTGAAATTTTATACCAAGTAATTTGCTCATAATCAAGCAGTCAGCACACTGGTTTGGCCTCAGGCCAGTATGTAATTCAATTATGGATGAAATTACTTGTGAAGTAATTTTATGCCAAAAATTACATCCACATGAACACAGATAAATGAAGTTCATGGCCATTGTTTCTGTGCTTTTTCAAATGGAATGAGCAGATTGTGGCATTATCGAAGAGATTCATACAAGATATCACCACTTTTGGATAAAATGAGCAAATTTTAACATCGTTACAACACAGCACGTATCTGTCTAATAGTTTAGATAGTTTAATTAATATATGATATCTGATGAGTTTAATTTGATGCTGGGCATGTTAGATTTATATCATTATCTTGTATGTGTGATACTCTATTTATTAAGTCAACATTCTTTGCTTGCATCCCGCATTTTCTTGATATAAAAATATCATTTTAGAGAACGACTGTTGCTATTTGCTTGTTTTAAGTTGAACAGAATTGAATAGGCACTTGCAGTCATACTATTTATAATGCCTAACATTTAAATTTACATATTTTATATTTTGAAGATAGAAGTTTGTTCTTAATGCAGTTTTATTTTCATCAGGCTATGCATGCTGCTCCAATGTATATTGCAGAGACTTGTCCAACTCAGATACGAGGCAGACTTATCTCTCTGAAAGAATTCTTCATTGTCTTTGGGATGCTTGTAAGTATAAATATACTGGTGTGTCAAAAATATGTGGGCTTGGATATGTGAATGCTCATTGTTTTGCCATACTTGCAGTTGGGTTATATATCTGGCAGCATCTATGTTGATTTGATTGGTGGATGGCGTTATATGTATGCCACTAGTGCTCCTATATGTCTAATCATGGGCATAGGAATGTGGTGGTTACCACCATCACCTCGTTGGCTGCTTTTGTGCGCCATACAGGGTAAAGGAAGCCTGCCACATGCGAAAGAAGTTGGCATTACATGTCTGTGTCGTTTGAGAGGTGTAGCTTTTAGTAGTTCAGCTTCAGAACAAGTTGACTTGATTTTGGATGAGCTGTCATATGTGGATCAGGAAAAACAAGCTGCATTTAGTGAGATCTTTCGAGGGAAATGCCTCAAAGCCCTCATTATCGGTGCAGGACTGGTGTTTTTTCAGCAGGTTGCCACAATGAATTTTCAGATTTGTTTAGTGATTTACCGATATTACATCTACCTTATCAATAGTCATTTGGTGCTTTCTTGCCATGACATTTGTTCTCTATCAGCTCATTGTTTTCTTCTACATCAGGTAACAGGGCAACCTAGTGTGCTGTATTATGCTGCAACCATTCTTCAGGTACTCCAATCTATGATCAGTATGTGTATGGGAACAGAAAGAAATATATGCTAACAAATATACTACTTTTATTTTGTGTTGGCAGAGTGCAGGATTTTCTGCAGCATCCGATGCTACACGTGTCTCTATTCTTCTTGGTTTGCTGAAGGTAGAAACAGAACTTGGTTTTAGCTAATAACTCATCGATCTGTATTCATATTTAAAACCTCCATTTTACATTTTCTTTTTTCTTTACCTGATCGATCTATGTATGTCTTTTTGAATTTACATATATCTGAAATTGGAATCTCATTTGTGAATTCTTCTGTTTAGTTTGACTTGCTTAAGAACTTGATTTAATATGTGACATTGTATGTTTCAATCTGTCATTTGTGAATTATCCTGTTTAATTTGACTTTCTTAAGAACTTGATTTAATATGTGACATTGTATATTTCAATCTGCAATGCTTGTAAAATTGATAACACACTCATTTCCGAGCTATGGTAGAACATTTTTTCTTATGCCAACCAGTTCTATTACAATGTCTTCATGCACAGTAACAAGTGGCCTTCAGTTTACTATTTTTAGTATGCTGATATATACTTTTCATACCCCTCTTGCAAAGAACATATAGCATGAGCTGTATACACTATTAAATTGTGGCAGGTTCTTTTCAAGGGTCTAATATTTCTGTTTCCTTTGCAGCTAATTATGACCGGTGTTGCTGTTCTCGTGGTGGATAGACTTGGAAGAAGACCTTTACTTATTGGCGGTGTTAGTGGGATAGTAAGCTTCTTGAACTTTTGCTGATAGGACTTGCATCTGAGAACAACAGAAAGATAAAACAGTCCTGCTGTTAGGACTTACATAATATGTTTGTTCTATATGTAGAAGGGTATAACACAACACTGATGTGGAGGGCCTAGCCATTGATAAAAATTGTAGAAGATAAGAATCATGAAAGTTCAAATGGTAGATGCTTATTGGTGAAGAGTTAGATGGCGTCAAGCCAACTTATACTCTTTGTTCATTAGGCCCTTTGGCACAATCCCTGCAAAATATGAAAATACTAAAGAAATGCAGGAGCTAATAAAATAAAAATCAGAAAATTAAACAAAGTGGCAGTGAAGTTCTACGTATGACTCTTCTACTGAGGGTTTTAATTGTCTGGGTCCAGTACAATATTCCATTTGTCTTCTAAAATTCCAGATTTTAAGCATCTTTTTGTTACAAAACATTTATATCTTCCTCTAGTTTCTAGTTACATGCTAAAATTTAACATGCTCATGCATTCATGTTCAAAATTGGGATGCTATTGGAACCTAGAACTAGAAGACTAGAAAGTTGGTAAGAAAGATTACAACTCTAGCTGCAATTGAGCTTATCTTAAACTTGGAGGAACGATCTGAATCCTGTGAGTCATTGGACATATTTCTAAAGAGAAAATAATAAACAATTTTTTTCTATTACTGCTGGTGATTAGGCTTGAGCCTGGCGCATTTTAAAATTCCTAAAGTGGATACAACTACCATGCAGGGAAGATTGATGGTTGTAATTATGAATCTATTATGTAGTGTGATGCTCTGATACAATATCACCAGTATAGTGTGTACCTAGATTCATGACATGTTTATTTTCCGGACAAGCAGTATTGGTTAGTATTGTGTTTGTCATATCATGTTACTATAGAATTTATAGTACCTATGTGTTCTTAGTAGAATTTAGACTGTTTTGCAGGGGTTATATGGTTTAAGTATTTTGATATGTGGCCCTAGTAACCACATGTCTATGGTTTTGTAACTTCATTTTGTTTTCTTTTTGGTGGAATTTGCTTTTTTTAGTAGAAGTGCATAGTTAAGAAGATTTATTCTGCCTGGTGTATTTTTATTTAAATTTGTGTGGGGAAGTTCAGATGAATTTGGATAGGTGTGCTGCTCTCGTATATCCATTTATAAGGTTCTGTGTGATTTCTTGCTGGTGAACTTTGTTCTTTACCTAGTAATCACAAAGGCACCAACAAGCTTAATTTTTGTTGTCTGTCTATTTTCTACGAAAGAACTATCTGATGTTGTAGTACGAAGTTATGAGCCATCTGTAAATATTCTTTTGTCTGATTGAGATGATGCTACCTTATTATTCTGCAGGCAATCTCCTTGTTCCTATTATCATCTTATTACACCTTGTTGAACTCTCTGCCTTCTGTGGCAGTGATAGCATTGCTTCTGTATGTTGGTTGTTATCAGGTATTGTTTTATCATCTTTTCATTTTCTTTTCTCATGATTGTTACACAGCATTTTTATTTCTTAATGATGGTTGTTAGGAACTTGCTCACTTAAGTAGTATATTACTCATTTCAGGTATTCTTTTTTCGTCATCATTTTATCTGATAATATATTGGGATGCATCGCATAGAAGTATTGCTTTCCTGCTAATGTTGCTTGTTATCAGCCATTGTATTATCATGATTTTATCTTGCATGATTGTTACAATATTCTTAATTATTCACAATAATCAAAGGATCTCTTTGTCACATAGTGATGGATCACTATACACATAGTGATGTATAGTGATGAATTGTCACCCACATCTGCTAAGGGAGATAAGTTCACCTGCTATTTATAAATAGGCAAAAAATTTCCAACTCATCATCGAATTTTGTTTGTCACCGACGATAGTGACAAACCATTTCTCTTCAATGAGTCGGGGACCTTTTTTGCAGTTGGCTCTTTCTATATTTGTTTTATGAGTTGTACTACATAGTGCATAGACATATCATGGCAATACATTTAAACTCTACATCAGTAGTTTCTTCACATTCTTTTTCTCTTTGGGTGAAGGAAAAGTTTCAATGCCATTGATGTTTCCATCAGAAGGAAAACCTGATCGGTTGCTAAAAATAACTAAGTCCTATCCTCATTTTTACCACAATATTTTTCTTCCATATAATTGTAAGCCTTCCCAAGGACAACCTGGGAGGTCGCTTGAATATCTAAGTTGTGTCCTCTCACCTAACACATTCTTACCACAGTATTTTTCATTCATGTAATTTTAGGCCTCATAGTTTCTTCCCAATAATCTAAAACAGTATATGTTGGACACACTCATATTGTTCCAGATTAGATTCCAAAATCTAATATTTTCTTGGGCCTTTAAATGACTCCAAAATAAGGTTTCAACCAAATATTTGGTTACCAATTTACGACGATTCCTCTTTTTACCACAATATTTGTTTGCACCTTTCTTTATATGAGGATAAAACAAGATTCCAAAATCTTTGTTTATATTCATATAAGAATATATTTGATTATATGTATTAAGTTTGATATTGTTACTTCATTTCATAAATCTCTTTAGTAGGACTTCAAATTGATGTTTGGTTTATCATCAAAACAATAATCAGATTTGAAATCCACTAGAATCAGAATTGAAATGACCAAATCTTCTGATGAATTTGGTTCAGAGGCTCTGGAGATGCAATCAGAATCAAAAAACCAAATCTAGCTCCACAATGTAGGATTTCAAATATTCCAAATAGGGGATATGGAATCCTTCAAGAATATTGGAGTTTGAACCCCATTCATTAAAAACTTGGACCGGAATCACTAATTTAATTTCTTGTAAAATGTAATCAAATTTTGGAAACAAAACACCACCTAAGATGTTTTTCTTTATGCTTTAGTTTGGTGCTAACAAAGACATTTATGGTTGTAGTGCTGACCTTGAAAAGCAACAGTTGCCACTTAAAAAGCGAAACAGCCAGTTTGGTCCCTGTAAACATATTTTCAGAGTTTTCAATAGCAAGTGCAGTTTTTTCATTAATTCATATTCCTGCAGTTGTCATTCGGTCCAATTGGTTGGCTCATGATATCAGAGATTTTTCCTTTGAGATTAAGAGGGCGTGGATTAAGTATTGCAGTGCTTGTTAACTTTGCCTCAAATGCTTTGGTGACTTTCGCTTTCTCACCGTTGGAGGTAATTATGCTGATAATTTCAATATTGTTTTAATCTGTTTTTATTAGTTTACACGTCATATAGTAGTAGTATCATGATATGGTTGATAATAAGGACCATTTGATCATGTGAAGCCATGAGATAACTACACAACAATTTATATATATGCCTAGTGTAAAATTGAATAGTGAACCTTCATCTTCATTTAAGTCAAATTTACTTCTTGTTTATGTTATATAATATTAGCTTATTTGGTCATGCAATTTAGATGGTCGGGGCATGCTTGTCATGTCGTAAAAGGTATTTCTTGCTTAAGATTGTTTCATTGCAGCAGTCCATTTATTATAACCAAACAATAGATGTATGAAATGGAGCTTCTGCAACAAGTCTTTTTTTTTTTTTCCTTCTATGTTGTTTAATTTGGAAAATGAGAAACCATTTTGTTTATTCTCTTGGCTACCAGAATATGTTAATAAGCCACAGTACATGTATTGTCATACTTGAGATGTTAGAAATGCACATCTTACATGTCTCAGTTACAAGCCAAAGCATCTGTTAAGTACTTGAGGCTCACCCCCATGCTTACTGATCATGAGTATAACTTTTTATAGTTTGTTAGTATGACGGATTACATTTCAAATTTAGTTTGGATGTCAGATGCGACGTGCATTCGTGCTTATGTGCTTTTGACGAAGCCAACAATCACGTTCCTGTGCATTTGAGATGTAAATCACCTAAGTTTCTTTCTTTTTTTTGTTTTATGATATCAGACGCTAGTTGGAACGGGTGTTCTCTTCGCTGGCTTTGGGGTGATTGCCATTTCCTCTCTGCTATTCATATTCTTCATCGTCCCAGAAACAAAGGGGCTCACCTTGGAGGAAATCGAAGCCAAGATCTTATAGAGGTTTTAACCATGGCGCTACATCTCTGTATCTGCACGTACCAGACTCAGGGAAGCTTTTATGTTATCTTTGCTTGTTGCAAGGTCCTAAAAAAAATCATAATATCCTTTTGAGCACCCCTGACACAGGACTCTTTCAATGTTAATACAGGCATTTTACCAAATGCTCTCGTGATGTAATATTTTGCTGGAACAGGGCATTTAGATCACGTGGCATTTGCTAGCATGAATTCCATACCTGAACGTAAGATTTATGTTATGCCACCACCACTACTACTATGTGTGTTTTTACAGGCGAATTGATTTGGTTACACAGTTTAGTTAAAATTTGATCTTCCAGCGATAAAGTTGATTGGGTTTCACATTTGCTGCTCATATGTAGGTTAATACTTAACCGATGAATAGTTCTAATCGGAGGCTTCAATCGTTTCAAGTAAAATGATCCCTGATTTGGTCAAATTAGATTTAGTATGGAACTTTTAATTTGATCAAAACAGTGCAGGGTTGAGATAGGACGTATTTGGCTACAAATTCACCATTAATATACGTTGTCGAGTTGTCTACGTCAACTTGACAAGAATAGACGATGCTAAAAAGGGCTGGTTACGTACTCATCCTTATCATTGCTATCATCCGGTTAATAACCCCCACCCCGGCATTAGGAAAGAGGAAAAATTTGAGGCCATCAGTCATTTGCTTGGAGAGTTGGACACGTGATTTGATCAAAACAAAATTCTCTCCCTTTTAATTATGCCACCCCAAATTCCCTCGTCGCCTCTCCCTCTTAAAGTTGCTTCTTCTGCACCTCTCTCTCTCCCCAACGCCTCCCCAATGGAGGCTATACCTCGGCAGAGCCCAACATCGGGCTTCTTCTCCCCCGAGACGGGGATATACCGCAGCAAGCACCGGCCCGCCGCCCTGCCTCAAGACCCTTTCGTGGACCTCGTCTCCTACGTCTTCTCTTTCCCCCACCAAGGAGTCACCGCCCTCGTCGACTCCAGGTCCGGCGCCTCCATCGCCTACGCCGAGCTCCGCGGCATGGTTCGCTCCCTGGCCGCCGGCCTCAGCCGGGATGGAATCACCAGTAAGGACGTCGTCCTGGTCATGATTCCCAACAGCATTCTCTTCCCGGTCGTTTTCCTGGGCGTTCTCTCGGTCGGCGCCGTCTTCTCTACCATGAACCCGCTGAGTAGCGCCGAAGAGATCAAGAAGCAGATGAGCCTCTGCCGCTTCACCTTTATCTTCACCGTCCCCAGCAACGTCGCGAAGCTGGGCGGATTGGGTGTCAAGATCGTCACGGTGCCGGAGGAGCCCGAGTTCGACGCCCACAAGTTCGTCCTCTTCAACAGTCTCATTTCGAGCGATCCCAACGACGCCCCGAGGCCTGTCATCCGTCAGACCGACGCCGCCGCGATACTCTTCTCCTCCGGCACCACTGGGGCCAGCAAAGGGGTCGTTCTTACGCACAGGAACCTTATTGCTACGGTGGAGCTTTTTGTTCGGAGCGAAGCTTCACTGTATGGTAGTGAGAGCTGGAGGAATGTTTACCTCACAGCCATCCCCATGTTCCATGTGTATGGTCTTTCCCTCTTCTCCATGGGGCTCCTGTCGTTGGGATCTACCATTGTGGTGATGAGAAAGTTCGATGTGGAGGAGACAGTTCGAGCTATCGATGCGTTTAAGGTCACTCATTTTCCTGCTGTCCCACCGATAATGACGGCCCTGATAAGGGCCAAGGGTGCCACCGGCTGCCGATTGCAGTCCCTCGTGCAGGTTTCATGTGGAGCGGCTCCGATTGCCCCAAAAACTATTCATGACTTCTTGAAGGCATTTCCTCATGTTGATTTCATTCAGGTGAGACTAGCTATTTAATCATCTTTGATGATCGCTCTCCCTATCGTTAGATTTTACATGGCACCCTCAAGTTGTTTGATATTTGGTTAAGACAAGTACGAGATTTGGAGCTTTGGTTTTGTGAATCATAGATCAAAGTTAATTTGTTTACTTGCTCTGCGTCTTGGGTTTTGAGTGCCCATATGGTCACATCTCTTTGCATTTAATGATGCATCTCGTAGATAATTCTTTGTTCTATTTTATGCAAAATTGATGCAAATGCAACTTATATTGATGCATAAGAAGGCATGTTGTGGTAGTGTTACTCTTCTTCAATATGGACATCCGTTTGTGTCCTTTTTCTTCAATATGAAAATTCCTCTCAACTTTTTCCATTCCTGAAGGTTGCATGAAGCATAATCTCCAGAATCCTATTAGTTTACATTTTACTGTAGATTCATTCTAGTATGGAAATCTATGTGCTTGTGGCAACTTCCTGCTGAGTAGTTTGCTCCTCAACTCTTGCAATTGAATTCTTGTTATTCATTATGCGGAAGCGAGATCTAAATGATTCTTAGGAATTTGCATATTACAAGTTCAAGCAAGATTTCATCTTGCTTTCAACATATTAAAATTGCGTCTGCAGATTACCACATAATATTTTGCTGTTTCATGCTTAAATTGTCAAAATTTAATAACATAGTGCCACTTAATAATGCATAGTATTAATTTAATATTTAGAACCACTATTTGATTGAATAGGGTTACAACCTTCACACATTATTAGATCTGATTAGAAAGGGGCATCCATTTTATCCAAAATTAGTACTACAAGTCCCTCATATTTGTCTTAATATCATCTAAAGTTGATTATCAAGTTACTATAGCTCAAAGCATGAGGTTTCACCTGTAAATTACTGACTCGGGATGTGAATGGCTTCGACACAGGTGAGTTGCATACTCATATAGGTTGAATGGTGTGCGTATAATCTGGAGTCCATCAAGCACCAAAGGAAAAAAGTTTGAAAGATGTTTATCTATATCCTAAATGACTATAACTTAACATCTTTAATGAGTATCTATTCAAAGAGAGATGAAACCATAAACACATATATTTATGAAGACCAAACAGCCACTTTATTGTTTACCATCCATGTGAATATCTGAATCTAATATTTTAAATTCTAGTTTAATTGAATCTAACATCCAAATTTGAATTGGATATTTGTATACAGATTCATGCTTGGTGTAAGAATTATATTCATAATTGACATTATGAAACAAGCATAAAATGCGGAAGTGGATGTATTATTATCTTTTTATAAATATCCCTGCCTTTGGGAAAATGATGGGCAAAGTATATCTCTGTTTCTTACATAGCATCCGCTGAGCCTTCTTATTTTTTATACGTAAGTGGTGATTTTAATAAATTCATAATGTATATTGGACATGTTTTTTGGTATTCAGAAGTAGCACATCATGACATTAGCACTTGACATATCCTCATGCTTGGGTCGTACCAATAGCATTACACTGGCATAACGCTTGTACCAGGTTTGCATAGATTTTGTGCTAAATTTGTGCCAACCGGTATGGTTGTGATTGCATGTAGCCAGCTTCTAGCCTGCCACCATAACTTAAAACTTTAAGGCGTTTACATATTTGTTGACTTTCATTTAATGGGTATTATTGTTTTATCTAATTTTATTGCAGGGGTATGGCTTGACAGAATCTGCTGCAGTGGGAACTCGTGGTTTCAATACAATAAATTGTAGAAGGCATATTTCTGTGGGATTGCTAGCTCCAAACATGCAAGCTAAAATTATTGATTTAGAGACAGGGTCTTGTTTGCCTCCTGGTACAAGTGGGGAGCTGTTGCTTCATGGAGCAGCCATTATGAAAGGTAAACTTGAAAACAGTTACAGCAGCCTAAGCTTGTAAGCTTTTATTTGGGCATGTTTTAGAAAAATTTTGTTTGGCTGCATCAAATCTTACTGTGGAAGCGTTTTGTTATCCTGCTCTTTAAGGCCATTTGATTTGCATCTATTTCGTTGATTGTTTTGATAATTTCTAGATCACATACCAAGGCCTGTGTATTTCATCTTCATCCTGATCTTCTAAAATATTACATTGATTTAATTGGCAATGGAAAAGATAGATCTCGTAAATGCAGACAAGACTTTAGTTGCTTCTCTTCAGAAGATTAAATGATTATAATTAATCTCGAATGAGTTTGACTTGGTTCAGGTTCATGAATGGAAAATCACTTGATCCAGGTTGATTTGAAATTATGAAGAATGCAACTGTATAAGATGGCAGGCTATATACAATATTATGCATTTGAAGAAGCATATTTTTACTGATATTCAGGATGAGAGCCTGTGGATAACAAACTTACGCCTCTGCCACAAGGGCCAAGCAGAAATGGAAACTAAATTACGACATTCACCAAGTATGCTTAGGTCCGTGCCCTGAGAATTCTTGCCATGGCAAAGGATGGGCAACTGCCATATGAAACTAACATTTTCACATAAATATACTAACTAACCTATTTATGATCATCACAATTATGTGGAGGTATGCTTGAGTTAGTGTTGAGTTGCAATCTAGAGAATTTATTGGATATCGTGCAGATTAAAGATGCTGACCATCTAGGTAATTGTGTATAGTGTATATTATTTTCTGGCATGGCCTGTAGTGATTCTGTACACCACAGATTGTATACCTGGATATAAAACAGCCCTTTTAGTTTGACAATATGATGCTGAATAAGTGCAATTATCTTCACTATAGCTAATATCGTGAAGAAACTACATGGAAGATAGGTCAGATTGATATTTCTGATATTTCCTTTTCCTCTGTCTGCCAAACTTGTGTCGTATATATATCTTTATATGGGTGACTGTATGTTGCTTAAGTGTTGTAGCGGAAACATGTATAGTTGTAGTGACAATTTCTAGAATAAGCACCCTTTATTTTCTTTGCCATCAATTCCAAATATCAACTTCCAATTGTATAACCATTGATATCAAAACTTAACAGGCTACTTAAATGACGATAATGCAACTTCATCAGCAATCATCAAGGATGGTTGGTTAAAAACAGGGGATATTGCATACTTTGATGGAGATGGATACTTGTACATATCGGACCGTCTGAAAGAGACCATCAAATACAAAGGATTTCAGGTATATCCAATTCACATACTCATGATGCAAAAAGAGGACACTGATAATTAATGTGCTGTTCTTCAGTATATGCCTTATTACTATGAGAAAATAGGAACATTTGGGAGATTTCAAGAAGTATTCATTAATAATTAAAATATCAAACTGAAATGTTAAAAGAAAAGAAGCCATATACAAGTCTGCTTTTTGAGCCTTATTACGTGATCACGGTTGCTTCTTGCAACTTTCTGCAATATCTCTGTACATAATTTCTTGTATGATATTTCTCTTGCAGATAGCACCAGCTGATTTGGAAGCATTGTTGAATGCACATCCTGACATCGTGGATGCTGCAGTGACAGCGTAAGCTTTACAAGTTCTACAAAGAACCCAGAGATTCTTAATGCGTGCATCTTCCGCTGCTTTTATCCTAATATTATCCTATGACTTCTGTAGGGCTAAGAACGAAGAAGCTGGGGAGATACCAGTGGCATTTGTAGTTACGAGGTCAGGAAGCAAGCTTTCGTCCACCGATGTCATCGAGTTTGTGGCAAAGCAGGTATCCACATTAATCGCATCAGTTCCTTTTTCACTTGAAAACCATAAATCTTTTGAAAAAACTTTTAGAGATCGAAGGGTAAAATAAATCTTCTGTCCTTTGTGCCATATATATTTAGAGATCACTGAAAGATGATATGCCTGATTAATGACAATTGTGGGTTAGTGTAAACAGATTAGCATATGTTAATGGTCTGTCAATGACACCCCGACATGGTGCCTCCCTACAGCGATAATGAATAGAATCTTGTCTTTAGTTGATCTATTTAGTCTCAAGCATATAAATAAAAGGAAAACATTCAATAGCACATCCAAATTAGCATACTCGTTTGACCCTTAGAATGCATATGTAGCAGTCTTCTGCCAGTTCTTTCAAGGTTGACTTCTGGTTCATCTGATCCCGATCGAGGCTCTGGAACTTATATTAACAGATGCTTATGACCTGTATATTAAATTGAGATGTATCTTTGAGACCATGAACTAAGTTCAACTAATATTTGACTCTTTGAATCCAGATCTCAATATTCTTTTACATCGTCTTCTGTTGATGTTTGTTCTAGGTGACTCCCTATAAGAAGGTTAGAGAGGTGATCTTCGTCAACTCGATTCCCCGATCACCAGCAGGAAAGACACTAAGAAGGGAACTGCGAGACACTTTAGCTGCTTCCAGGATGTAATTCGACTGCAGGACAGAAGAAGAAAGTCCAACCCCCTCCCTTGGTTGCAATTTGACCTCACCAAATGCATCTTTATCTAATTTTTTTGCAGAGAATAAATAATATAATTTCTACATGCATGATCTGCAAATCACGCAGAGAGAAAGGCAATTAGTTTGATGGGTCAAAACCGCGTGCGATCTGCTAGCTTGATTTCCAAGCAAATGCTGATGCTGTGGTCTCGTGTTTCCAGAATAATCTTTCGACAGCTTCGCATTGGTTGTGTTGGCTCACCAAAGAGGAATTGTTTCAGAGACATTCGATTTGGTGGTGCAGCATCACCACCTCGTGTTCATGTGTGGAGGACATCACGTGTCCTGCACGCGTGAGATCTAAGTATCACCGGATCGAGTCGGTTGGGAGAAGTTAGAAGGGCTGACATATGTCATCCCCCTAATACTAAACTCAGAGGGGGACACAATATCGAATGACAAAAATACCGTCGAATCATTAAACACTCGATCATGTGTTTCTTAGGATCTGATAATAAGATTTCTCTTAAAAGAAAAAAAAAGAGATCATACCAAGGTTCACGGTATTGATCTATACTGTTCGATACAAGTGGTACGTATCGATATACACGAATCGTCTTCTATCGATAAGGTCTTTTTCTAACTTATATTATTTTCTTAATTTCTTCAACTCTTTTAAACTCATTTTCACTTTCATCTAATAATTCAAATAATAAGGACAATTCAAAAGGTAATATGTCAACTTCCGAAAAAGATGTATCATTATTTTTTTTCTAATTTAGATTATTTTATTAAAATTATATTTATTTTTAACTTACAAATCTTAATTTAATTTTTTATTTTTAGATAATTTTGAAGTTATTTTTGATTTTTTTTTTTGGGTGTATTGTCGATATACCATATCAACTACTGTTGGTTGACGAAGGGGACTAATAATTGCCTCATAAATTCGTGCCGAATGAGGCTATTTCGGTAAATTCAATAGGAAAAAGACATAATATTCGATCATTGATTGATTTATTTGCAGAGAGGCATGCGATCGGCACTCTCTCCTCGATCTCCGCCTCCTCCAGCTTGCTTCCCTCCGTACCGTGGTTCTCGTGACGGGAATCGTCCGGCTAGGACAGGTGGGCTCGTGAACGTCTCCGATGGCGCGGTTGCCTCGTAGACGGCAAGGCGGCGCCGGCGACGGTCGCGTGCCGCCCACCGAGTCGGCCGAGGAATCCTCTGCGTCGACTGTGTCCCCACGCGATCCGCCGGAGCCCCAGAAGGATCCCCCGTTGGATAGGCCGGTCCGCGTCTACGCCGACGGGATCTACGATCTTTTCCACTTTGGGCATGCTCGAGCTCTTGAACAAGCCAAGAAGTTGTGCGTCCTCTTTCCCGTTTCATTCGGTTTTATTACACATATACTCCTTACATATATACATTTTCTGGAATCTTGATGATTGTTGGTCAAGAATTTCGAAGTTTTGGTTAAAAGAATTAGATTGTGGTGCAAAACCTTAATGGCATCGGAATCGAAACTAGATCGTATGTGCGTGGTAAGGCATCACGAGCATGATGGAATCATAGAGCCATGTTCTTCTTTAGTTTGATTTCTGTCATAAATTAAGATTCAGTTTAAATAAAGAGCGTCTTTGTGATTAATTCTTGTGAATGCATCACACGCTTGGGCACGTGATCCTTCCTTCGGTGCCGCTGAATGATTTGATTTAGTGCTTTGACATGGGGATCCTGTTTCCTAATCCCGAGTCAAAAGTCAGTAAAGTCCACTTGTGTGATTTGGAACGAGATACCATGCGAAGAGATTTGCAATCCTAATTTGTTAATTGCTTGTGTTTAAAGTAATGGTGGCAGAGGTTTTGTTTGTAGATATTGGACATTTCTTGCAGTTAAGAGCAAAGCTTTTTCTTTTTGCTGCAGAGTGTGATATTGTGAGTGAACTTAGTTTTTCTCTGGAACCTATGATGATTATAGGGCCGTAAAAGGGTTGGATTAGGATCAGCCAGTAAATGATATGAATCAGATCTGATTCAACCAAATAATCCAGTGAATTTGCTAAAAACTTGTCCAATCGACACACTTTGAACTCCTACCCAAAAAATCAATCTGAAAACCTGAACTAACATTGATAAATTGCTTATACTTGATCAAGTTCTGAATTGAGATATTAACAGGCGTTGTTCATTTGTTGAATCTGATTAGATCAGCAATGGCTTGGGTCGACGTCGATGCACATCTTTTCTGAATATTAATTGATCTCCAATCAGACTGTTGGTTCAAAATGTTTATCCATATTTGGCTTGGATCTGATTGGCTTTAGAATGGATTGAATTATGTCTTATCTTTATACAACCCTATGTGAAAATATATATCCCGGAGGAGTTCGTTTAAATTTTCTTTCCTTTAATTTAAACGTTGATTAGAATCTGCATTTTTGGTAATTGTATTAGCTGAAAAGCCAAGTATAAGGCCTTTGATTACTGTGAAGTTCTGTCTGTAGTTCAGCAGTATCTTTAATAAACCTCTTCAACAATCAGAACTTTGATTATTCATTATTTTGGTAAATTTGAGGATGAGCTCCACTTCCATAATTTTTTAACAAATAATAAATGCTTTTACCTTGTGCACTTTCCTGGTCTAAGTGTAGGGGCAACAAAATAGTACTCAGATGGTTTCTACAGATGGAAAAATGATCGTCTTCTTATTTTTGTTGATCTCTGGACTTATGGAGTTCTTATGTAACATCTATCCAGTATAAGGTATCATATTGTTAGTTATAATTTTCAGCTGCAAGTATTGATAAGCTTTTATGCTAAAGAAATAATGCTCCCTTTTTTGTACAGATTACTGAAATATTATGCTGCATTGGTTGATTTGACTTTATCTATAATATTCTAACTTGAGCATATTTGTATCATTTAATCAGGCTCTAAATATGATTCTTGTACTCAAAAGTTTTTCCAGTTTCCTAGATTACCACCTTCTTAAACTTTGATAGAAGAAAAGTTCTTAAGCTGTATTTTTTCTCCCTGAACAAAGTGTATATCGAGTTCATTTTGGTCAAGAAAGTGACTGGATAGTCAAGCAGAGAGATAAAGCCATAGAATTTGTCTTTGCACTCCATCTGAGATTCTGTTATTCTTTCAAAATCCTATTGCTTATGAATTGTAATTGTGCTGAGACATGGTTTCTTATGAACTATCTTTCTTAAATTGACATGTTCGTTTTTTTCAGATTCCCAAACACATATTTACTTGTGGGTGTCTGCAACGATGAAATTACTCATAGATATAAGGGAAAAACAGTCATGAATGAATCTGAGCGTTATGAATCTCTCCGTCACTGTAGGTTTGTACTATGAAATCCTTTTTACTTGTATTGGGAAACTTTTGGTTTACTGGTAAATTACTTCTGCTGCTTTTTTATATCTTTCAGTGATGTAAATCTAGTCAAACAACTAATGGTTTTTTTGATATTTGTAGACAACCATGTAAATTCTATTTCATAAGAAAGCAAAAAAAAAAGGGTACTTTTCGTTATTCAACGTAATCTTTGATGTTGTTTCTTATCTCCCCCATTAAACACAATTATGAGTCAGAAGTCAAATAAGAAATGCTTCTTAGGTAAAATTAGCCACATCTTTCTGACATTACTAGGACAGAAAATTATTCTCTTAATGAAGAAATAACAAACTGAAGCTTTGGAATCATTGCTTTCTGACTAACCTACATGGGAGAGACAACAGACTATAAAGAAACAGATTAACAGATAGTTGATTTAAATTTGGAATTTTTCATTATTGTTGAATATCGAAATGGCTCTTTAGTCTAATGCTATTATGCTATGATGCTCATAAGAAATTGGATGCTTATTAAATCAAATATTATATTGTGTAACAAATAGTTACCACAGTACTTGTTGACCTGAACAAAAAGTTATTTCCAGATTTTGCTGTTACTTTTGTTGATTATTGGTTGTGTAAACCTCATGAGCCTGTGTTTTTTTTGCATATCAGGAACAAATTACGTCACTTTCTTATCATTAATTTGATACTATAATGATACAATAGCAACAACAACATACTGTAATATCCCAATTGTTTTGGATTGTGGTTGCATGAGTCTTTTGCTGCTATTGAGCTCTGTACAAACCATCCTCCTTAAATCAAAATTGATGATCTGATGATCAGCTATTAAATCCGTTCCGGTTACAATATCTTAGTTAAAGGTAGTGTTAGTGATCTTAGAGCAGCGTCATCAACAAGCTTTTGCCTTTATTTGAAAAAAATTCTGATCATGCTGGTGAATTAACAATTACTTTTAATTAGTGATTAATTGCATGATTTGCTTTCTTTCCTTTATCATGTTCTTGTTTTGTGTCTACTCTTGTTTGCTGCATTTGTCATGGTATGTCATTTGACTTATTATAAGTCAGACAGCTGATTTAGTGTACTCTTTAGTGTAATAACTAGTCGTACGTGAGTTCTGTCGGTATGTCAAGTTACATGTTGGCATATGCTTTAGCTTCGATGCGAATGAGCTCTCATGTAAATTACTAAAATCAGAGAAAAAGAACTTAGCTAAAGTGCTGTATAATTTATGTTTTTCATCACATTTACAGCTGAAATATTGTGCCTATTTAATTGTAGGTGGGTAGATGAAGTTATTCCTAATGCTCCATGGGTTATCACAAAGGAGTTCCTCGACAAACACAAGATTGACTACGTTGCTCACGATGCCCTTCCGTAAGATATATAATTCCTTTCTGAAGCTGTGAGTTATCAAAAAAATATTTCAAATATATAATTTCTTTAGTAATAGATCCACATACTTGTCGGTTTTTTGATAGTATAGGCTATAGCCTTCTCATAATACATTATATGGGTACTTTATATAATTGTGCATGAATTCACGTGTTTTGGTTATTTTTAGATTAGTCAATGCGGTCCTATACTCCTATGTAACAATTCTTGAATTTTGTAAGTACACTGGAAGAATATAAGCTTTACTCATCTGATTTATCAAAATACTTTGATCAAGCAAAGGTTGGATTTGTCGAATTGCTGAAATGGTGCATTTTTTACTCTCACCTATAGTACCTAGGCAAAACTGGACTTACTATTCTTTTAATTGTTTATTGTTTGTGCTGTTTCTCAACTTAATCATCCAAAAAGCTCAATTTCTATGGAGTTTCAACTTTCAAGTCCTTGGTATTGGCCATTGTTAGCTTAAGTCCCACCTGTCCAATTGGTAAAAAGTAGTTTAGATGTAGACTTTGTTGTTATATCATGTGCCCCACAGTTCCGTTACTTATCAAAATAGTCTTTTGCAGATATGCAGATGCAAGTGGATCCGGCAATGACGTATATGAATATGTTAGTTCTCTTGTTGGAATTTATGATCTTATGCCATTTTGATTTCCGTTATCTGAATACCCACTTATTCATTAAACAATCAGAATTACATTTTCTTATAGGTCAAGTCCATTGGGAAATTTAAAGAAACAAAACGGACAGATGGGATATCAACCTCAGACATCATAATGAGGATTTTGAAAGATTACAACAAGTATGTTATGCGTAACTTAGCTAGAGGTTATACAAGGAAGGACCTTGGTGTGAGCTACGTGAAGGCATGATATTGCTCTTGAATTGTTGCCTTTAATTGAATGAATATATCTCTTGTCATTTTTGCCAGTCTCTGCCATCTTTGTTCCTTCTTGTCATTCTACCTTATTGCTACCAGGAGAAGCAACTGAGAATGAACATGGGCATAACTAAATTACGTGAGAAAGTGAAAGCACAGCAGGAAAAGGTATGCTGAAGGTTTAGTTATCTGGTATTATCCAAATCATAACTCTCTGTGGTCCTTAGTTCTAGATCTCAGGTTGCCAAGTTCTTGCTCCGTCCATTCACTGATCTTCTGTGATGTGATATCAGAGGAATATGTTGTTTTCTTATTCTTCTTTTTGAATGCACATAAATCATAAAGGACAAGGAAAATAAGTTAATCCAACCAACATTTGTCGTCAAGAGCTTGCTGTTGCATGTTATGATCAATTTCATCGAAGCACATGTTGAATCCTAGTAAATAAATCATAATTGTTGTTCAAGAATTCCATCTGGATTTACGAATATATGGTGCTTGAAGACAAAAGCCTGATTTATGCATGTCATCAACATTTGAAATCTCTGCCTTCTCTTTCTTATCAGGACATTTTTTTCCTTTGATAAATCTGTTTTATAATGAGAGTTATAATCACCAGCCTTGTGTAGTAATTTATAATATTCTATTCTTGATATGTCCCTGTCTATTTTTCAAAGACCAAAATTGAAATATCTATCTAATCTTTTTGAAGATGGACACTTCACAATCATGCAAGAAAAAAACTATATTCTTTTATGTGATTATTTAGTGTCGATTTTCACTTTCTAATGGTATTAATTGATATATTGCTCCCTGCAGTTACATACGGTAGCAAAAACTGCTGGGTTGCATCATGATGAGTGGGTTGAAAATGCGGACCGCTGGGTCGCAGGATTTCTTGGGAAGTTTGAGGAAGGATGTCATATCATGGTGAGTTGTCAGATCTGAAATTTCTAATAATTTCTGGATGTGATTATAAAACATATTCTTCATGGGAATTGGCATTCGCATGTCGAAAAATACCTTATGGATTTAGCAAAATGGTTATATGTGTTCCCTCCATTCGACTAGTAGAGTAATGCCTAGTTGGGTAACGGTAACAGGAGACGGCCATCAAAGACCGAATTCAGGAGAGACTCAAAAGGCAGTCGAGCAAAGAGATGAATGCCAACCTTCTGCAAGAACCAGTAGCTTCATGACATATCCGATAACTAACTGTGCTACTATCATGCTCCTTTGTATTGGAGTCGATTACCAGTACATCAAAGGTATGCCAGGAGACAGCTGAATGGCTTTTCCACTTTGTGGTTTTTTGCTGTTGGATTTAGTGAAGTTGGATGATCACCACGGCATGGGAATGAATCATGTCTCAGGTAGTGTCATTACCAAACTGGCTTGCAGATTGTACGTATGTGTGCTGGACTTTGTTCCTTATATTTGTTTCAAGTGCTCTTAGGATCCACTGATGGAATACTTTACATTGTCCTATTTTTATGGAAGTCATTTCCAGCATGCCAAATGGATTCACTGATGGAATATTTTGTGTTATCATCTGTAGCGCTTAAAATCTCATGTCTCAAAATCAAGTGGAACACAATTTTTCCTGTTTGACCTGATGATGATTAATCTCGATTGCTCGTACTTTGTGATGTTCAAAAATGCTTGATAATTGCCTTTGGTTACGTTCCGATTGATTGATTCTCCACGCTGTTACGGTGGCAGGATAGGCAACACAAGAGTCTGATCACCGCAGGACAGAATAAGACAACATAAAATTGAACGATTTTGCAAAGATTCAATTTTTTGGAGGCGTTTCAGGTACCTAGTGGCTGGCGGTAAGATCACTATGCGGTTTCCATACCTCATGCTTCTTAACGGGCCCGATTGCAAGCCGGGCTAATTCTGGATTCGAAGGACGTTGGAGATCTGCAGACCGTCACGGACACTTACCGCCTCCCGCCGGGTGCATGAACTGCCCCCAAGAAAATTAAATCGCTACGAAATCGTGCTAACTGCGACGTCTTATTCTCACGCACGGTAAGCATACTCTAGTACTAACGATTAACATACACTGTAGCAGTGCGACACGATGCCCGGTACCGGAGGCTCTCCGGCGTCATCGAAGCCCTCGCCGTCGCAAAGTACGTTGACTCCGGCTCGATGAAGTCGGCCGCCAACCCCCAGCTGTGCGTCGGCGTTCCAGCTGTTCGACGAAATGCCCGGCACGTAGACGGCGTGTAGCGCACGCCGAACCCGTCTCGCTCGGTTTTCTCTGCAGAGCTCTCGTCGACTTCTACCTCTAACTTCGCCAACATTGGCCGCTTCGCCGTGGATTGGAACCTTCAACCTACCAGACAACCTTATATACCATCAGGTCTACTTCATGGCAGGTATGCTAGAAGAATGGGTCAATCTCGGAACCACTGGTGACCAAGCTCCTCATGCATCCTCCTCCCCGTAGGCGAGCAGACCGTCGGCGGAGAAAGCAGTCATGTAAGTGATGGAGTGGAGAAAGCATTCTCCTAAATCAGCCACAGAGCTTCCGGCGGCTGTCCAGCCTCGTAGTGGCAGCGCATGACCGTGTTCCTGCTCGCCGGTCATTTCGTCGAACATCTGGAACGCCGACGCAAAGAGCTTCTTTGCCAGGCCGGTGTGAACGAACTTGCCGCAGCGAACGAATAGGAAGTGAATGCGTTCTGCTCACCGTCACGTGAGAATAAGAAACCACAAATTGGACGATTTTGCAACGATTTAATTTTTTTGGGGGCAGTTCAGGCACCAGTGGGAGGCGGTAAGCGTACAGCGAGGATTCCAGATCTTCGACGTGACGTCATTCAATCGGGGCCGGATCAAACCGGTCCGACCCAATTGCATAAGAAAAAGCCCGACCGCCATCCGAGAACGGGCCGCAGGTTCTAACAGGCCGGGCCCATAACGAAGCAGAAGGTCTGGACACCTTCAGTAATCTTACCGCAAGCCACCCGGTGCCTAAACTGCCTCCAAAAAAATTAAATCTTGGGAAAATCGTTGAATTTACGCTATCTTATTCTGACAGACGGTGATCAGACTCCAGTGACACAATTAAGCTTCATTGCAACGGTGATAGCGCGGAGAAGACCGGTTCACGCTGAACCCTTCTCGCTCGGCCTACACGAGGAGAAACCCTCCTCTGCAGAGCTCTCGGCCGCTTCTGCCTCTCGTTCCACCTCCTCCACCTTGGCCAAGTACTTCGCCGCCATTGGCTGTTTCCACCCATGGGAGAGCCATACGCCATGATCGCACTAGTCCAGGAGACGATATCCTTCACAGATAACTCGTCAAAAGATGCTCTCGCTTCTCCAATGGCTCCACAGTTGGCACACATATGAACAAGAGAACACCATCGTGTCATTGCTCTGCTATCCTCGGAGAATGTCCGCCACTCTGTCAACCTCCAAGCATCCAAATGTGGCGAACGTGCCGACGATTGCAGACTTCGTGAATCCTCCTCTTCCCGTACGCGAGCAGAGCACATCTTTTCATCTCCGAAAACAGCTACAGAAGCTTCCGACGTCAGTCCAGTGTTACGGTGGCACGGTCATGACCATGTTCCCGCACGTCCTGTGCGTACCGGTCATTGCGTCGAACAGCTGCGACGCCGACGGCGTTTCGCGTCGTACGCGCTGACCAAAGAGCTTCGAATGACGACGGCAGGAGAGAAACCAGGCTTCATCAGGCCGCCGTTAACGAACTCGCAATGGCGGCGATAGCTTTCCTAAGCCAACCGAATAAGATGTGGTTTCGAGAGCTTCGATGATGCCCGACATTCTCGGCAGCAACAGCTATAACTCTCGAGTCTGCTCACCGTCAGTGAGAATAAGACGACGCAATTTGGACGATTTCGCAAGGATTTAATTTTTTTGGAGGCAGTTCATGCGCCCAGACGGAGGCGGTAAGAATACCTCAAGTCTCCAGATCATCAACGTCCTAAGTATCCAACTCTGGTCCAACTAGTTCGGCCCATTCGTATCAGAAAAAGCCCGACCGCTACAACCCCAACCCGGGCCGTGATTTCAAACAAGCTGGGCCGATAAGGTCTGGAAACCTCTTCGGAAGCTTACCGCAAGCCACAGTGACTGTTGCACTGCAGAGCTCTCATCGGCTTCTACGTCCTCCTCCACCCACGCCGAGTACGTAGATTTGAACCTTCAACCCACTAGAGACGTAAGGCGCTCGACCAAATGCGCCTACGAAGTTGATTTGTTCGTTGTTTTTGCCTACCTAGAAGTGTGCATGGAATTCCCTCCTTCAGAAGGTGATGTCTTGTTTCCAATGTTTTGCCCACTTACTGAACGCTCTTACACCAAATCTGGACCAAGATTGATCTGGCAAACGTGATCATCATCACATAGAGCGGAGAAAGCAGTCACGAACGTGATGGAACGGGGCTCAAAACCACACCATTTCATCTCCTTACGACGCCGGTGCAGTCTCACAGTCGCAGGGCGTGACCGTGTTCCTGCACGCCGCCTCCGTGCTGGTGGTCATTTCGTCAAACATCTGGAACGCGAACGCAGAGCGAAGCGACGGCACCGACCAAAGAGCTTTAAATGACAGCGTCCGGGAGATGAACCTGACTTGATCAGGATGGAGTGATAGAACTGGTAATGGCGAGAGCTTTCGGAAGCCAACGATCGGATGAGGTCTTCGACTATGCCTGTGATCCCCTGGCAACGACGGTGCCGCACTGTTATTGATACATGATAGTGAGGTACTTACTACTAGACGTTGCAGTTTGGATGATTTCGCAACGATTTAATTCTACTGGAGGCAGTTCATGCACCCAGCGGGAGGCGGCGGCGGTATGAGAACCGGAGAGTCTTCAGATCTTCGACGTCCCCCCGAATCGCACCCAACAGGGTCGGTGGTATAATTAAGAAGCATGAGGTGTGGAGACCTGTTTGTAAGCTTACCGCCAGCCACAGAGTGCCTGAACTGGCCTGCAAAAAAATTAAATCTTGTCAAAATTGTCCAATTGATGTTCTCTTATTCTGACTGGCAGTGATCAGACTCTTACGCTGTCTAAAATAATTATGCTTCCTCCTGCAACAGTAATAATAGCTCGGATCACACCCCACACGTGAACTGCTCGACGAAATGCACCTACGAACTTGCCTTTTCTCTTGTTGCAAGACGCTGTCTCGTTTTCATTGTTTCACCCAGTTACTAATGCTGTGACTTTGAACAAAGCTTAGCTGTGCCATGGAGTGGGGTTTAGAATTTAGATCACGAACGAAGCTCTGAAGCCTTGGCAGAGCTTACATGTTTGGATGGTTAGAATGATTGGAACGAAATACCCATGCGGGCATTTCGTCGAACAGCTCGATCGCCGAAGCAAAGCGACGGCATGGTGCCGACCACGGACGTAAGGAGAGACTGGCTGGCTTCGATGATATTGCCGGTAGGAGAGCTTCTTCGATGATGCCCGAGAGCTTCCTATGACGGGCGTCGTGTCACAGTTAATTATGTCGACATAATGTGACAGGTTTTCTGTGAAGTCGCCATGCCGAATGCATTGGCACTATAGTCTGCTCGCTGCAAACAGAATACGATAAAAAATAGTCGGATGATTCAGCGACGTTTTAATTTTTTTTGTTTTTTGGAGGCGGTAAGATCTTTCATGTTTCTGGAACAATCAATTCGTGGTCATTTGAAGTCTACGCATTTATAAAATGCAGCCCAAATCAAACAGCACTTCCATTTATAAAGCATAAATACTGCCCACTTGGGGTGGGTCATGTGACCCTCTGAATTGATGTTTCGTCAAACAGAAAAGAAAACAAAACAATAAATATCGAGCCACGCTCGTTCATTTGAGTAACAGGAGATTTAACTGTGGGAAACGGATTCAAATCTTATATCGGAAGGAACTATATTTGCTTTCCACAACCAGCATAGTGGTTAATCGAGTTTCTTCAGATCATTCCTTCCCTCCCGCTCCTGGAGAAATATTTTCGCCACTTTAGTTTAGCATATAAATATCTTCGTGTCAGGAGTAAACGATATCTCTAATCTGATAGCGTTCTACAGCCCACCAGTAAAAAACACAAGTCAGCCTATCTGAATGCTGGCCCAGCCATAAAAGCATCATCCGGCTGCACAGTCAATCTTCATCATCTGAATTAGTAAATGTAATTTTAGTGGACTTTGGAGCATCTACGGTAATCTCTTTGAAGTGTGATCCATAAAGCTTCGACTCCTGCACAGTAGAGACAAAAATGATGAAGCTGTCAGGTAACTGTAATCTTATCAGGTTAGTGAATGATACCTTGCACAAGATTAAAATATGATATTTAGCTACAGCTAACACCAAAATGTCAAAAGGTGCAGCAAAAGCATACTCTGTGCTTAATACTACTATCAGTATATCACCTCCATGTTGCTGCATGAAAGTTGGATAATCGCATGATTTGCCAACCACTATCTCTAGAAGTCAGTGCTACTACTATTATCTCATATCCCACTTACTACTGAAATGTTGAAGATATAACAGTGTCGACATATTTGAATTTTGCCATGCAAAAACATTCACTTCATCATGTCAAACGCAAATCTCTTTCAACTATTTTAGATCCTTTTAATATCTGGAACTTCAATTGTTAAAAATACATCTTGATTTCACAGAGATTCTTCTTTGCAACGTCGGAAAAACCTATGCAAATCAACTGATTTTGGTCTATCTTAGTCAAAATATTGATGCTAACTACTTGGGATTGCCATGGAGAAGAGCTAGGTGGTCTATATATTGTGAATGGACCAACAGAAGAGAAAAGGAACATATCAAATGAGATCCCAAGCATCCTTTCTGAAAAGATGTGTTGGTGGTTGGGTTGTGATGGTAGAGAGGATAAGGTGGTAGTGGGTAATAATGGTGGTGATTTAGTGATGGATAATTAAAGAATTACTTGGCATACATGGAAGATACGAAGAAAAGAGGAATCACTTCATAAACATGTAAATGGGTAGTTGCATGTGAAATACATAAAAAAGTATGTTTTCTACTAACCTTTTTCTTCACATGAGTGCCAAAATTGGTAAGGGCTGTTGGTACAGTCTGCCCAGCTTCTCGGAGAACATTAACAAGCTCCCCGGCAAGGCCCTGAATATATAAAGGACATGACATGGGACAGAATCCACTAGAATAGCAGATATATAATTAACTTCAGAAGTATGATTTTTCTATGCTACCTTATTTTCCTTGGTGAAGAACGTATGTGCAACACCTTTTTTACCAGCACGCCCTGTCCTTCCTATCCTGTGTACATAATCTTCGGTGGTCAGAGGAAAGCTGTAATTGATAACTACTTCAACATCAGGAATATCCAATCCCCGAGAAGCTACATCTGTGGCAATCTGCAAAAGTTTGATAATATTGGTTAAACACAATTATTCTGAAGAAAATCCAATTGCCAATGTATTTTGCATATAAACCATTTGAACCTAGCACAAAAGCAATCCCATGCTCTGGTGAGTGGTAATACATAGACTAATAAATTTAAGAAAATAAATAAATTAAGCCGCACTAGAAAAAACAGCAAGCTACTGTAATACCATACATAGTAAAAAAAAAATGGAATAGCCAGAAGTAGATTAAAATTTCCTTTAATAAATGGAATATGAAAGGCCGTAGACACCTTCAAAGTACAAGAGGTTAACAAAATTACATGATAGGCATAAATATCAGTAACCACAGGAACTGGTCAGTAGGTTTAATGTGATCATAAATATTCCATTAAACTGCATGTTTATAAATCAATACAAACGCACTCTACTCTCTGGACGGCTAAATCTCAGGTAATGATGAATTTTCAGGTATTTCTATATCACAGCTTTTATTCTGTATTTGATTCATCAAATGTCTTGTTAGTACTTGTATCATGATGTTAAACATGCCTCCATTCAAGTAACAAAACAAAAACCAAGAAAATCACAAATCTTGTTTTCCTCATCATCTAGCTAGGAGTAAAAATTAGGCTGAGAGTTTGCTTCAATTTTTCAGCATCTATACTCACCATTAACGGACACTTTCCCTCCTTGAATAAACATAATGCCTTCGTTCTATCATGTTGAGCTTTGTCTCCATGCACAGAAACAGCCTTCCAGCCCCTTTCAGCAAAAAGACATGAGTTGGGTACAATATGCAGCAAAACAAAAGCTAAATCAAAAAAAGGGTGAAAGAAATCATACCTCCTTTGGAGCATATTCTCAACACGAGCAGCTTCCTTTTTGTACAAGACAAAAACCAAGACCCGATTTCTGTTCCAAACAACTCCATTAATCAGAGAGACTGACTATTTAAGTTCCCCAGACTTGAATAAATTACTTTGACTTTGTTGCTTAATATAAAAATTTTACACCAACTGGACATGTAATTATAGCTAAAAAAACACTCGGTGAGCATAGTGGCTCGATGTATTCAAACATATGGCTCATTGTCTCTATGTTTACCAAAGACACATGGCGCTAGGTTAACATATAGCTAGCTTGTAAGCACAGATTTCAAAAATGGCAAAATTCTGCATATGCAATCATACATGATAACATAGAATACATGCACAGTCAACAATTTTGCAGCATAGCTTCAGCATAACATGCATAAAATATGCCTGAGCAGGTGACAGAACAAGGACACATGATAAGCTCACATGGAACCGCATGGCACATTATTGGGTTCGGCATGTCCACAAGAAAATTCCTTTAGCTGTATAGTCATATTGCAAATTACAATTCCTTCATATTAAAATCCACAAACTTTTAATCTGTTTTTATTAACAACTATATTCCACCAGGTTCTGTGAAGAAGATCAAACTAACTATCTAATCTAGTCAAGAACCCAAAATATGTAAATTCATTTGATAGCCAATAACTAGTGAAAAAATATCCCAAACATGTACAAGTAAAAAAAATGATACTTGCACAAAGTTGGCCCAACACTAAACTGTTGACTTGATCTGAACCTAACCTGAATAAAAAATGAACTCCATTCACATTGTCAACAGTGATTGAATAACCTTAGACTAAGATACTACATACAAGTTACGGGTCCTGAAATGTTAAAAATAGTGTACTGGTTATTATGTTTCTATCACCAGTTGCATGAACCACATCTCTTCAATCATAAAACAATCGAACAATCAGGGATTCTGGCAACTCCTTAATCTTCAACGTCCTTCAACCAAGCACTGCCCTTGGGTAGAGAGCAAGAGTGGCCTGATTTGCTATCTTATACCATCACATGAGCCAGTCAGATAGATAAACACAAACTTAGAACAGAAGAACCAAGTCATAGATTAGCTACCTCTGTGATTGGTGATATTTTTCTAGCAAGGTAACTAAGCGAGAATCCCGTTGTCGATCTTCCAAGACCTATAGAACAGTATGAAACAGGCACAGAAGTAGCTTAAGTACTTTATATGACAATACCATAGTGACTATTAAGAATTGCACGATCGTGCATGAGAATACCTCTACTATCTGCATCACATCGTGATTAGCTGAGAGATCCTCGGACCCCACAACAACCTGAAATTTGTGATTCATCCGGAACAAGTCAACAACATTGTTCAATAGTTCAAACAAGTGCTTGAGACATACCTTCACAGGGTTCGGATCCATGAACTCTCTAGCTAACTGGTCAACAGCTAAGGGCCATGTTGCACTAAACATCACCATCTGCCTAACTGTTTGGATAAGAAAGAGCATGTTATGTATAACACATACAGTGGAAACTCATTCCAGATAAAAAGCAATATGAAGTTATAAAAGATAAACTAATCAAGAATAACCCAAGCACATCATAAAACAACCATTTGGAAATTCAAGGTCTGCAAGAAAATGTGCTTTGTGTCCTCCGTAGCATGATATTATAATAATTCCTTCCAGTGACAGACCTTATTAAGACAAAAGAAACAGTACAAGATGCTGTAACTATGACATTACTCACAACAAACATTGTTTGAAAGAAAAGTCTAAACAGAAAATTGATTATACACATAAATAGAAGTTTCAAATTTAACAAACCTCCAAAACTGAGACATATTGTATAATGTAGACTGGGCCATTCAAGATCATATGTAAGTATCAACCTTATTAGCTAGCAGATACAGGTATTACTATCAAAAGACAAAGTCCTAGCCAGATATTTAAAACTTGCAAAAGATGACATTTGGCCATATACATGGGGACCAAGAATTTAATTTTCACTGGCACAACTAGATGCAACTGAGCTGGCATGCCCACCGCATGGGAATAATTCTTAGCCAACACAAGACAAAAATAATTCAAATGAATGTATAACTACAGTATTGGCAAAACATGGACCTGTGCTAATACCGGCAGGAAGATACTGCATTGCCAGAAATAAACAAAACTTGAACAAGTCTCAAGCCATCACAAATATCTGTTGTTGTGGGTTTATGAGGAATATATTTGTGTAAGGAGCAGTTGAAGTACTTTATGCAACAACAAATAACAAACAATAAACATGGGCTTAAGGATTCCTAAGTGATTCACTACAAGCCATTCAGACCTAAATAATAAAAAAAACATCCACAAGAAATGCCCACGGAAATACACGCAGAAGCAAAACCCATTACTATCCTTTGGAATAAACTTTTTACAAACATAAGCCTCACAAAGTGGTCCAATAACAAGCCAGAAAAACACTAGTGAAAATGATGCACTTGGAGAGCATAGAACCAAGCATCATAATGAAAGAAGAAAAAAAGGCCAATAAATAATTTGCACCTATTTGTAGACAACATAAAACTGTCATCAATAAGTTTTGCCATAATAGGTCTCTTCAACTTTTTCTTCCGCTCTCCCTGCTCATCTATTACAGGCTAATATATGTGTATGTATATTTATTTTTATAATGCCCCAGTCTACCAATAAAAAATACAATGTCACTACAGAGTAGAAAATTGCAGAACTATCGCATCTCATGCTTTGATTGTCCTAAATTATAAAACAAAGACATTGTGGCCTTTGCATCAGTGCAAGAATTCATCAAAAATAATTGCAAAACAATAAAACATCTGGAATGTGTCATATGCAATCCATGCATAACTAACCTACAAGTAAAACTCGGTGGCTTCTTCCTCGAGCAAACTTTGGTCTACACGGGATCATAATGCTTGTAAAATATGTGGCACACAAAATCTAAGAACACTTGTTATTCTTGCAGATGCACTTTGTTATTTTAACCTGCATTTAGCTTAGAACTGGCGATCTTAGTTCTTTATAACTACAGAGACAGAAAATTCCTAAGACTAATTAAACAAGAGTAGAATTTTAGACACCCACATATTTAACCCCCAAACAAGTTATCCAAGTCAGGTGTAAATTGTGGAGGGAACTAAGAATGACAAACATCACCCACCGAGACCGAGTGAGGTGACTCTTGTGGGCTGCTTTTTGGATGCCTACACAATTACTCTGTGCAGACAAAATTATTCCAAATTAAAATAAAAGTTATTGTATGAACTGCTCATAGCAACACTCCACGACACAGATATAGGACAGAAAAAATAAGCAGCAGTTGTTACAAACCAGATGATGTTTGATTTAATATTGAACGGACTTCTGGCTCAAATCCCATATCAAGCATTCTGTCTGCTTCATCAAGAACCTGCAGATAACCACAATTCGGCACTTAAGGGTGGGTTGCACACTACTATGGTACAGGATGACCAATAGCAAAACAAGATTAGGCAGACAACACACTCAGCATCACAACATGAACTTCTAATAAGGCTCACTACTTAGAATTGATTGAAAGGACATAATTTACTACTTTTGTGGAAAAAAGGTGCCATTAACTGTGGAATATCATAAGAAACACCTATATGAAACTCGATTTTGACAAACTAGATCACACATTTAGTGCAAGTTATGTTGTATTGGCACTGTAAAGCATGCTTTAAGGTGAAGACATGAAAATGTTCATGCCACACTTGTTTTACTTCAGTACTCAAAAAGTCATGCACACTTTATGTTTTGTGAAGCAAAACAATAGAAAGAACAAAAACATGAAACAGCTTCAACTCACCACAAAGGACACATCTTTCAGCTGGCAAACACCCATTTCAATCAGATCTTTCATACGACCAGGAGTTCCAACAACTATATCCTATAAGCAAAAAGGAGGAACAACAAACATGTGAGATCAGAGGACCAAGAACAAAACTTTTCTTAAGTATGGCTCTAGGACATTTCAATTCCACATGACAGAGTGAAAAAACAAAGTCTGAATTTCTGAGACAGATAACACAATATTGCTGTATACTGTAGAAAGAATACCTTCAATTCCCATCTCCCTGGTTCAGAAACAAATAAAAATCATATTTTCTTTATTCAATCTATGTCCCAAAAAATTATAAATGTTTTTTAAGCATGTTCAACACGAATCAAATATGCTACTGACTTTAAAATGATACCAATATCACCTTAAAGACATGAGAATAATGCCTGTCATAATCCAACAAGAATTTATTTCACCTAAGAAACAATAAGATCTTAAAACAACTACATATATCAAACATTTTATAAAACTAGCATCCTATTACTAACTTTTTTAACATAGACAAAGGGTTTCTCCATATATTCTCGTAGAACACATAACATGTGGTTATATTTTTCAACAAAATGCTCATTCTACAACTAGAAGATATAAAAAAATGGTTATTTAAACAACCTATTTAGAAAAAACATTAAATTTCAAAAGGCATGAATGGCATTTTTGTCATACGAAAAAAATTGCAGTGCACATATACATAAAGTGAACAAATTTCTCAAGATCTTACAACTCCAGATTTCAGAGAGGAAATTTGTGGTCCCTTGGAAGTCCCACCATACAAACAAACTGATTTTATACCAGGAAGAGTCCCAGCATCACTTAAAACGTCTTCAATCTGTCATCAAAATAGACATTCAACTTCAGAGACAATACTTTTATCAGCACCTCAATGTTCATATTGACTTAAAATATTTATTCCAAGAGAAACATTGGGCCCATGTGATGACTGAAATATTCGTGTTAATATAAATATATGGTATTTTGCATATTTCCCAAGAATTTCACTTGTAATATGGTAATGCTGTAAAAGCCAAATGAAACGAAACGGAATTACTGAAAGAAACAAGCAAGGCCAAAGATGTCGATGTGGCTCATCTTGTCAAGTTTGTACAGAATGAATTCAACTTTTTGGCATAAAAAACTGGCATGTTTACCCAAAACAATTATCTAACTAAAAGAGGAAACATTGGCAAGATGTTATAGAATCAAATAAGATTTCCTCGAACAGCAGTGGATTTGTTTCAACATTTGCTTCCATAAAAAAAAATAAATAAAGCTCATCATACTTACAAATGAAATATTCTCTGAGTGTCATTATAAATGGAAACTATGAACCTGCATTCACTTCATTACAATACTATTCTTTACGCAAGTCTCAAGCAATCTACACAAATTTATGTTTAGTAACCAGAATGCTAACTTATTGCAATGCAAAGGCACCAAATATATCTAGTAAGCGTATATAAACATCCCAAAAAGTCTGATTAAATAAAAGCAAATCAAACCAATCCACAAATGTCAGAGCCAAAATGCTGCCAAAAAACCATGTCCACATCTGCATGATATAAATGCCAAATTCTTTCAAACATCAGATTAAGGATCTCAGGTTACATACATTCAGTTATTTCATTATTTGATTACAAATTTCCAATACTATATTTTGCTCTAACAAGATTAACATAAGCTTAGTATTTGGTGGCAGAAAATAAACTGACATTATATCAATAAACTAACAGGTAAAATTTAATTACTTGAATTAAAGCCTATTTCTCAATTCTCAAAAATAAATGGATTTCATTTAAACAAATTTACTGATAAGAACTAATAAACTCTTAGACAAACATAGGCCGATCGCTGTGTAATATTAGAATATTCCAAAATACAAACAAAAACATGGAAAGACAGGTGAGTAAATAATGATGGCGATATGGAAGGAGAAATACTTTCTGAGGAAGCTTACTGATAAGAACTAATAAACTCTTAGACAAAGATAGGCTCATCGCTGTGCAATATTAGAATATTCCAAAATACAAACAAAAACTTGGAAAGACAAGTGAGTAAATAATGCGGCAATATGGAAGGAGAAATACTTGCTGAGCTAATTCCCTCGTAGGTGACAATACAAGGCATCGAGGAACTGTCTTTTTTGATGTTTTCTCACTCTTAATCTTCAGAATATGCATTAATGCTGGTACACCAAATGCCAGGGTTTTTCCTATAACAATCGACAGACAAGGAATCAACCAAAGAAGTACCTCTAGTTTGCATAATGAAGAACCGATTGAAAACAAGTTAAATATATCAATAAGAAATTAACATGTCTGATAAAGAATGATAGAAGGTTATTGCAGTTGCTCGGACATTTCCTTCATAATGAAACTAAAGCATTAGCCAAATTCATAGTGCAACTAAACATAATTACTGCATTTATATCAAGATAGAGACCTTCCTAATTAAAGTAGCCGTAAATTATTCGCGACTGAAAAACAAAAATCTCGGACTGAAAAACATTAGCCAAATTCAAAGACGCAACTAAATATTCCCTGTGCTTGTATCAAGATCAAGGCCTTCCTAGGTGAATGATCCAAAAGAATTCAACTTAATCATCATAAATTATCTGTTGAGTAGAAATAATAATTCTCAGACTCTTAAACCGAATAAAGAGAGCCAAAATTTAATAACTTACCAGATCCAGTGGCAGCAATCCCGATGAAATCTCGCCCTTCCAAGAGGAAAGGCCACGCATGCGACTGAATAGGCGATGGTTTGCTGAAGTCCTTGCAGCAATCAAGAACCTTCGCCGGAAGCCCAGACTCGGCAAACGAGCTCAATGCCTTGTACTTGGGATCCGACGTGTTATTCCCAGAAACAATCACACCTCCGCCCCCTCCCGCTTCCGGACCCTCTCCCTGCGTTCCCCCCTCTTCCACTTGCTTCCTCTCCCTCCTCGAATCCAACGCCGGTTCCTCCTTCGAGATCGCTCCTTGTTCACCCTCCCGCTTCTTTTTCTTCTTCGTCTTCTCGGAATCATTTCCGAGGGTTCCTGAATTCTTGGAGGAAGAGTCGAGCTCAGCTTCAACAATCTTTCTCTTCTTCTTCTTCTTATTCTTCTTCTTCTTGGTCCCGTTCATGTGTTCCTCGCCGCCGTTCTCCGTGGAATCCGGAGTTAGGGTTAGGGCTTCACCGTTTTCGAATTCTTTGTTCTTCTTCTTATTCTTCTTCTTCTCCTCCTCCATAGCTACGTGTAGGGTTTCGTGATCGATCGAAGGAGCCATGTCATCGGCTAGAACTCTGCCCATGGAGATGAAGCGAAGCGGAGGAGTGGGGGTCGGGGTTTGCGCCTCTTGTTGGGAGGGCAGAGACGGGGGCGGTGGTGGACTCGGTTTGCCACGATGCTACTAGGGTTTTGGAGTCGAGCCGGAGCGGTGGGAGTGCCTCACATGATGTGCACGTGAGTAAATAGTGGGCTTCGTATCGGGCTTATAATGAAGCGGGTTGGGCCTCTCCTTAACTTTCATCTTTGCATTATATTGGGCTTCTAATTTTCATTATTTACACATTAATTTATAAATAAAAATCATTTCAAATGGTTAAATACTTTTATTGTGTCATGTCACATCATATACTATATACATATATAATAAGGTGATGTTGAACGCACGCTAAATATGCAACACACTGAATTATCTTCTAATTATAATTACTGAAAATTGTGGGAGACGACAGGCCACTTTTGCAGGTCGGTTGTGCATGTGAACACTTGATGTGACCATCCACGAGATTGACATGCCACTTTGCACATACTTGCATTTCCACAACATCATACGTGCTTACATGGTGACAAAATTCACACCATGCTGGTTTCCACGTATGCTTAAAGATGTTATCGCTGCACTTACGTCGTCGATGAAGACGTTACCTCATAGAAGGTTGAGAGAGAGAGAGAGAGAGTACAGGGTGGCTCAGGTCATCTAAGAGACATGGGCCAGCAGTGTCGGTTGGCGGATGAACATGCCAGGCTTTGACATGCACCTTCCTGCTCTGTTACTCCCGCGGCCGTCTATTTCGTGTGAGACAGAGGGGTTGGAGAAAGAAATGGATGCTGAAGCAAACGACGACTCCGTCTGAGGAAGAAGAAACTGCAGAGCGGAGGGAGTGCGTCAGAGTCTCTTACAGCTTTGCATGGGATTACGTGAAGAAGGAAACCCGATGGATGGGTGCTCCGAGATTCGGAAACTGGCGGAAGATAGATCCCGGTGGCGACGGCCGACAGTTGTGGTTGTGGCGCCACCGAGGAGGACCCCACCTGTTCCCCCCTCGGACTCCCCATCATGTCGACTTCGCACTCAAGGCAGCATGGAGAGCGGTGGCCTGCGGGCGGCTGGTAACCGTCCCCTCCCTCTCTCTCATCTAAATGCTCGCTCCTCCATCGGCTCCCCGTTCCATCCCGGCTCTCCTTCGTGATGATGCGAGCCCTTTGATTCTTCCCTCGGAACAGTGCAGAGGAGACAGATGGTCGGCATCTTCGCTCTGTTCTCCGCCGGGAGGATCAGCCACCGCCGGACGAAGAGCGCGGCTGTGAGCTCACAAAACTGCTTCTTTTCCGGATCTTCGTCAGAAAGATAAGATTTTGGTTGTTTGGTTTCCCTTCCCTGGCGAGTTTTGTTGTGCTCTCCAAGTTTTGATGAGTCGATGAGATTTGCCCTCTCGAGTGGATTTCTATTTAGCTGTCAGCTAATGAATGATGTCCCTCTGAACTATTCATGAAATGGGTTTCCTGGACAGGACGTGAGGCAAGTATTTTTGGCTCCAAACATGGAGGTCGGAGGTTCCTCTACCGGCACTGACCATGAAGCTGATGTAAACGACGAGTTCAAACCGATCGAGCACCCGACGGAGCCGCTCGACCACGATCAACCCGTGAGATGCCCGCTGCCCGATCCTTCGATACTTGATGCAAGTGTTCATCCCCTGTCTTGGCTACATTCTTTTACCTCCTGATGATAGATGTGGTTGCTCTGTTCTCTTCTCAAGCAATCCGATGCTTCAATCATTACAAAGCTTCCGAATTGGTTTGATAGATGACCTTCTGGTGTTGGACATCAGGATGGTGGAACGTGGAAGGGAAGGATATCTTCTGCAAGTGCCGGCACAGCTGGCTTGCCCATGGTGAAGCAAGACACGGATGTGAAACCTCAAGCTGGTGAAACCACGGCGCATTCCATCTCACCTGGACGCGTCTCGTCGGCATCCATCGGCGTTCCTGAGCATCGTTTCGTGACCGTGCATGAAGAAGACTGCAACACGGATGAAACCCAGATTGCGGATGGCTGATAACTTGTGCTTCCTTGCTTCATGTGTTCTTCCTCCCCGACTGCTGCTGCTGTTGAATCTTACCACATTCAATTGTTGATAGACCAAATCTATCTTCATTGCCGAGTGCTTGTTCATGCAGAAGCTAAATATGTCTCAAAATTGATTACTACTATGAGATGAAGTACACATGCTACAAAAGGCCGAAGCTTTCTTCCATAAGGGTTATTGCGTCGTACATGCTTGCTGCAGGGGGTGATCCTGCTCGTTTCGATTCGTACGAGAAAGGAAGCGATGTCATTTGTCGACGGGCTTGCTGAGCTCGTCCATCCGCCGGTGGACGAAATCGGCGATGTCATCGACCAGCTTGTGGGCGTCGGGCAGCTCCGGGAAGACGTAGAAGGCGTGGACGGCGTCCGGGTACTCGGCGACGCGAACATCTACCCCGTTCCTCTTCAGCCCCTCGCAGTACCACCGCTGCCGGTCCTGCAGCGCGTCCCACCCGCCGACGCACACCATGGTCGCCGGAAAGCCCTCCTCAAAGTCGTCCGCCGCCGCCGACCCTGGCCCGAACACGTTGGCTGCCTCGTGGTCCCCGTCCGCGCCCACCGGCAGGAACGATCTCCACATCCACTCGAACCGCTCCAGCTTCCCGAAGGGCATCCCACCCAGCCGCTCCTCCGAAGGCGACGGCACCTTCCCACCGAAGAACGGTTGTATGGCCACCAGCCCCGCCACGCTGGCCCGACCTAGCGCCTCCCTTCGCGCCCGCCGCGCCACGTGGTGGGCGATGTTTCCCCCGGCGCTATCGCCCGCGAGGAAGACGGCGGACAGGTCAGGCACGAGATCGCCGTTGCCGAGCCAGCGTAGGACGTCGATGCCGTCGTCGTAGGACGCCGGGCAACGGTGCTCGGGCGCGAGGCGATACTCGACCGAGGCGACGAGGGCGGGGACCCGGCGGGCGAGGCGGCGGCAGAAGCCGTCGTATGGGCTGCTGGCGGCGGAGTGGAAGGTGAAGCCGCCGCCGTGGAAGTAGACGATGAGGGGGAGGGGGGCGGGGGAAGCGGGGGAGAATAGGCGGAGCCAGAGGTGGCGGGAGGGGTCGACGGTGTGGTCGGCAGTGGCGACGCCGTCGATGGGGCTGGGGTTGGGAGGGGTCCTGCGGTCGAAGAGGTTAAAGAGCCGGCGGTTGACGGTGCCGTCGCGGCGGCAGGCAGCGTCGGTGGCGGCGGTGATGGCGGCGATGATGAGGCGGGTCTTCAGGGGGAGCGGGGGACGGGCCGTGGCCATTTCGGAATCGCCCTTCTCAACGGATCTCGCCATCGAACTCTCTCACCTTCTGCAGCGGCCTCGCGAGGTTGTGGTAATGAAGGCCACCCAACCGAGACCGACGTACCCAAGGCGGTCATCGGATCACGTGATACCCACTTTTGCGGCCAACGAATGCGTCCGTCGCCGAAGTAGCTCCGTGTCGTTGTCATTTTCCTTAAAGGCGTCGTCAGTGACATGAAAACACGTCATCAAAAACACTATCACAACATCAACCATATCATAACTCTTAATAATTAAGGATCTATTATATCATATTTAAAATATTTTTTATCTTAATTTTTATCAAAATTATAATATAAAATTAATTAATATCTATAATCATGCGATCTGATATAATCAAATTAAATCATTCGTATATTAATATATTCATTCATATATTAAAGACTGCACAAAGATACTGTCTTCTTAAACAAACATAAAATGTACAGAGACTGAAGTATCCGCCGGTGCAGCAAGAAATGACAGTGGACATAAAAGGAGTCCTTTGTCTGTCTAAATATGTCGTCATGACGAGGAAGTACCATAACACTCTATGGATTAACATAACCTAAGGAATGATGCCATGAAGCAACGATGTCACGAGTACGTGCTCATGTTCTATCCTCTCCTATCATTCTCATCAGCGATCCAGACACCGAACAGTTTCAGTCCCTTCTTCTTGTCCTGCGTCTCCGACGATTTCCGAGGCGCCGCTGATCCTGTCACTACACCTCCTTCGTCGTCTTTCTTCGCTGTCACTCTCTCTAAACTGAGATCCAGGCCAACGCCCATCACCCCACTTTTTCTCCTGCTAAAACCACAGCTACAATGGTCTTCCTCGTCTCCGTTCTCCATCTTCTTCCTCTTGAAACCGAGCCCCAGTCCGATCACCCCGCTCGTGCTCCGACTAGAACCGCCGCTGCGATCGCCGCCACTGTTGTGCCGGATGATGTCGATCATGCAGTACGTTCTCCGGTGTCCGTCACTCTCCTCACACCGATAGAAGGCCACCGTGTCCTTCGCCTGAAGCCTCTTCTCCTTCACGAACTTATTCCAGCCCTTGGTGAAGACATAGCTCTGGCTACTCTTCCAGTAGCAGTATCGGAACGTCCATGGGCGGTCCTCGCGGTCCACGAACTCGACCCGAACCTCGTCGGCCGTCTCCGCAACCACCGGCGGGAAATACTGCGTCGCGTGCTTCTTCGGAATGACCAATCTGTTGAGCTTCCCGACGTCGCTGGGCGTCAGTTCCTTTACGAACATCTCCAGGAACGTCACGTTGCTGGTCGTACGAGCATGAGGGAGGTCACGGATTGGCGCTGCGTGTAGCCTGGTGTACTCCTCCAATCGTGAACAATATGATCCGTCCCTAATCATGTCGAGCACATCATCGATGCTGAACGTCTCCTGGAACCTGCGTTCATGGGCGGCGTGCCGGGTGGCGGGGAGATTGCGGTGGGAGTAGTCGCCATGATGGAGCTTGACGGCCGCGCTGTCGAAAGCCCCAGCCGCCGCGATCTCCGACTCGAATCTCCCGAGCCAGACTCGATGCCCGCGAGCGTAGATCTGCGCGCCCCAGTGTCCGTCCGGTAGCAGCATGACGCCTCGGTATGGCGTCGAGGGATTGGGATCGTTCGACGTTCCGGTGGCGGCCGCCATGAAGGGCGAGGCTCGACCCCAAAAGATGCAGCTAGAATCGGGTCCTTCACGTGCCGCTGGCACGGCGGTTGCCATTCGGATCTTGCCGGCCGAGTAGCAGAGTGTGCAGTCTCTTTTCTCGTGTTCGCAGAGGGATAACCTGAGGAAGACGAGCCGTCAATTCAAGAACAAACAAAGATTGCAAGACGGGTTAAGCACCACAAAATGGCACGGAAGTAAAGAGCTAACCTTAACGTTGTCTCCATCTGTGCACACATAGGAGGACGAAGAGCCCTTGAAATCCGCTTTCTTACAATTAAAATCAGCTTGAAGAAGAAGAAGAAGAAGGGGAGCCATGAAAGCACAGTTCGTAAGCTTCCTTATGTAGAGAGAGGAGAAGGTGGAGGCGAGGTGAAATCGGAAGCAGGAGATACTACTCGCTGAGGAAGAGTTGGACAGCGGACTAATTCGGGAATGAGGCTGACGCCGCAGACCTTCAATTTAGAGGAGCAGGAGTCGATGGGAAGGAGGTGTCCTGCCATGGATCTCTCAAATGTTCCCTGAATTCCGACAGCCAAACTAAAATTTCGGGTTTCCCCCTTACAGCTAAGTGAAGCACACATCTCTATTTTTATCTCGATGCAGAAAGATCACGTGCTCCCAATAACGAAGCATGGTTGTCTACAGTCTCCTGCTGCGACAGCCTCCGGCCGCTCCAGCAGCCGGAGACCATGCAACGTAACGCATTGTGCAGTGCTTGAATTGGCCGATCGATCTAAACTATTTTGGTGGGTTTGTATTTTAACCCCTATATTTACGCCTAAATCTTAGAATAGAGTTCTCCCTCTTTTCAGTTCCCATTAGGTGAGTCACTTAGAGTTATGACAATGCGATGATCAGAACAACTTTTTCTCACCGTAAAGAGGGAGAAGTGGGATGCGTGAATGCATAAAAAGCAGTGGTGAATTCAACCTTCTCAACCAGAAGAATGAGTTCCAACATTAATCTACGTTAGATATTGACCTACATAGATTTCATATGAGACGTTGCCATCTTGTTCATGTATCCAAGAAAGAAAGAAGATCCTTGCTTCTTCTTCGACCTTTGCCTACGATTCCCTTTGCCACTCATGCTTCAAAATCGCCTTGTTTTGAGGTGTATTCGTCTTCTTTTGTTCCTCCACAGAGCTATTTCTTGAAATTAAATTTATTCAAGTATCATAAAGAGGTTCATTTCATCAAAAAGAAATCTTCATTATATCAAGAAGAAGAAAAAAATTAAAAGTCTATAGAAAGATAAGTCAATTTGGTTATTGGTTCTTGAAAAGATTTCTTAAAAGAGAATGATTCATCTTGAATACAATTAATGTAATATATCTTTCGGGACTATATAAACCCTATATGTTGGGCCATGAAATAGATAGAGTTTCTAAATTTGTAAAGAGTTTTCTTGAGAGAAATATAGAAGATTGAAGCTTGTCAACTCTTCCTATGTTTGATAACTCTATCCCTTCTTCCTATCAAGATCAACGTTTGGTATCAGAGCATAGGTTAAGCTATGACCTCTTCCTCTAGTACCATCAAACTTCATATTCCCAAATTGATAAAAGAAAATTATAACATATGATGCATCCAAATGAAGGTTCTTATAGGCTCCCAAGATATATGGGAGCTTGTAGAAGATGGATTTGTTGAACCAAGTTCAGCAAAAGAAGGAGCAAAGAATGGAGAAGGAAGAAAACAACTCAAAGAAAGAAGAAGAAGGAGAAAAAGGCTTTGTTCACAATCTATCAAGGGCTTGATGATAAATGTTCGAGGTCATCGCTCTAGCAAATACTTCAAAAAGCATTTGATAGTGTTGATAAGGTAAAGAAACTTCGTCTACAAGTTTTACGAGTCGAGTTTGAAAAATTACAACAAGGTACTTCTGAAACTATTTCTGATTATTTCTCAAAAATTATTTCTATTGTTCATCGAATGAGACAAAATGGTGAACAAGTAAATGATCAAAGAGTAATAGAAAAAATACTAAGATCTCTAGATCCAAAATTTGATTTTATTGCTATTGCGATTGAAGAATCTAATGATTTGAAAAAAATATCTTTAGAAGAACTTATGGGTTCTCTTCAAGTTCATGAGCAAAAGATTACAAAAAGAGGAGAAGATAATACTATGGAGCAAGCATTACAAACGAAACTTACTCTTGAAAATAAAGGAGAATCAAATTCTTAAAGAGGAAAAGAACGAAGACAAAGAGGAAGAGGAAGCAGAAATCAGACCAATCAAGAATCTCCAAACAATAAAGGTGGTAGAGAAAATTCTAACCAAAGAGGCCGAGGCCGTGGACGTGGCAGAAATTATAAAAGGTCTGAAATACAATGCTATGTTTACAAAAGGTACGAACATTACTCTTATGACTGTTATTATAATCCTAACAATCAAGATGATAAGGCAAATTTTGTTGAGGAAGAAAAAAATGAAAATCAAGTTTTGCTAATGAGTTATAATAATTTGAAAGAGGATCAATCTATGACATGGTATCTAGATACAGAAGCCTCAAATCACATGTGTGACCTCAAAGAGCTATTTTCAGAAATAGATATAAGTTATTCCGGGAACATTACATTTGGTGATTTGTCTCAAAGACCACGCAAAGGTAAAATTCTCCTTGAACTTAATAATGGCAAAGAATTAAGCATTTCAGATATTTATTATGTTCCTGATATGAAAAATAATATTCTAAGCTTGGGACAATTACTTGAAAAAGGTTATGATATTGAGATGAAAGATATAGCTCTCTCAATTCGTGATAAGAATAAAACATTGATATCATACGTGAAAATGGCAAAGAATAAAATGTTTCCTCTACATTTAAGTATTTTTTATCAATCAAATTGTTTTAAAGCTGATATTGAGGATATTTCTATACTTTGGCATCTTAGACATGCTCACTTAAATTTTGAGGCTTTGAAACTTCTAGAGAAGTATAATATGGTGACAAGAATGCCAAAAATTGATCGCCTAGCAAAATTATGTGAAATATGTGTCATGGGTAAACAAGAAAGAAAGCCTTTCAAAGTGAGAAGAACAAAAAGAGCATGCCATCGACTTGATTTGGTGCACTCAGATGTTTGTGACCCTATCAATCCAGTATCACTTAGAGGAAGCAGGTATTTTCTTACCTTCACTGATGATCATAATGGCAAAACTTGGGTTTATATGTTAAAAAAAAAGAAAGAAGTTTTAAGCAAATTCAAAGAATTTAAGGATTTGGTTGAAAAACAAAGTTGCTGTAAGATTAAATGTTTAAGAAATAATGGAATTCTACATTAATTCACCATGCTATACACACCTCAACAAAATGGTATCTCAGAAAGAAAAAACAGGACTATCCTTAATATGGTCCGATGCATGTTAAAGGAAAGAAAAATTGCTAAAGAATTTTGGGGAGATGCTGTTGCTTGTGCAGTTTATTTGCTTAACAGGTTTCCAACAAAGCGAATCGGTAATATTACACCAAAAGAAGAATGGAGCTTACAAAAACCAAGAGTTGATCAT